GGAATGTCCTATATAAATATTTATCATACTCCGTATATTGTCAAAAGGAGTCAGCGAAAGATATCCTGGAGATATACCAGGATATGGCATTAAGGAGTCTATAGATTATGCTTAGGAAGGAATATTCTAGAATGTCCGATGGATGGGGCAATGATGATCAAGTAGAATGAATCCTTATAATGGATCCCTGACACTTAGCCGCTAAATACTCCTGTCGACTAAATGCCCTTGTCAGCTAAATGCTCTGTCAGCTAACTGTCCGCGTTGGCTAAAGATCCTGTCGGCTAAATGCTATCTGCTATGTGTCTCGTCGGTTAAATGGTTGTCGGCTAAGTGTCCGAGACCATCTTATAACATCCTGTACACTGCCGAAGAAAGTTAATGAGGATGTTTTGAAGATGTACTTAGATGAGACATTAAGCAAGTTGTTTGAGGGATTTAAATCCTCATTACATCTCGTGTACTATCAAAAGGATTTGATGAGGATGTCCTGGAGATATACTGAGTTGTGACATTAAGCGCTCTAGTAGATGATTTTAGTATATTATAAGGGGTATTCCAGAATGTTCTAAAAAAATGTCACGACAATTTAACTTTCACCTTTAAATCCTAATAATTCCCGTATATTATCAATGGGACTTAGTGCGGATGTCCTTAAGATATACCCGGATGTAACCTTAAACCAATTTCGGATGTGTTGTTGACATCCAAACTGGCATTGACCTCCTGGTTTTCGATGAAATTTTAAATGGGGCAATGATGATCAAGGTGTCGAACGGAGGGTTCACAGCTGAATGTGCAACGGCAACTGATCAGCGAAATCAAGAGCCCATTGATTACAAAATATTTATTAATAAAAATGGTAATTGACTGTTTATTAATATAAAGCTATATCATATATAAGTCAAATCTAATTCAAAATATATAGGTACGGTAGGTTTTCGAACATAAACGTTGTTGAGTCATTAGGTTTTTTGAAGTAGGAAACACGAAAAATAAGCAGTGCCCTCGCTGGAAATCCGTATTTATCGAGAATAATTTTCTTTAAATTTGGCATTGCCAAAGCATGAATATTTTCGTCCTTTAAAACACTTCTGTAATTGGAAGTGTATGACTACGACCGTGGATTACGAAAATAATCGCTAGGTAAGGACATTTAAGTCAGGTAAGAGGGGTGGATATATATTTACTTTCAGTATGTCCGATTATAGTAAAAAATGGGAGGTGCATAACTAGATGTTATATAATCCCATATGCAAAACTTCAACATTCTAGTCTTTTATTTATTCTAGAATTATTATTATTATTCTAGAATTTACTTCATTTAAAATCGATTCTATCTCCTGCAGGCCTATCATTCCCTCGGACGCAAACCTTGGACATAGCTTGAGACTTTTGGAAAAGGCAGTAAAGCCTCCAACTCACACATCAAAGGGTTATTTTCCAGGAAATGCAATTAATTTATAAGAATTATATCGGCGGGCATCGTGATCAGAAAGTCTTGGACTCTTCCGTCTTTATTTTCAAAGCTACAATTTTGCATTAAAATTTCCTTGCGTATCCTGATACTGCTTCTAGAACTCTCACTATTCTCCTTTGAGACTAATCGTTTTAGAATTTTTCATTGGTGTGCTGAAAAAAAGAATGAATTTTTGTATCAGTCACCCCTTGAAATAGTACATTATATGCAAAAACAGGGCTTACCTTCAAATGGAGATTGGCTGAGCACTTACTTCTTAGCTTCTGATTGGAATGAAATTCCAGTCGGAGCCCAAAGTAAGGCGAGGTCTGATAACGATTTTTTTTTTTTTTGTTAAACTGTTTATTAATTAATTTAAATTTCTATTTATCTCTTTACATTTGTTTTAATTTTAATTTAATTACCTAAATTTTATTAGTCCAAAGAGGCTTTGTCCCTGAAGGACTATTGTTTTCGTTTTGCGATTTTGCGTTGGTTCACTATAAATGTCCGTTTCACTTTTCAAACTGTTGCCACCGAATGTTAGAGTCCTGCATTATATTTGAAGAAATTGAATAATGAAAAATCTGCATAAATATATGTATATTTCTCGCATTTTGATAAAATAATGGTACATAGAGCCATCGAATTTTGAATGAGGTAATCCTCCTACGAATATGGGCATGTGGAAGCCCAAATTTGAAATTTGTTTTATTATCGATTTCATATTTTGTAAAAAACTTTAACGAATTTTTGATTAATAAACTCAAGGATTTCAAAGCGAGAGATGGCAACGTTGTACAGAAAAAATATTTTTATCTCCAACGCGTGAGTTTCTGTATCGGAAATTCTAAAGATATGCTCATTTTAAAATTATTTTGTGATATTGCTGTAGAACTGAATTTTATTGTTTAAGTGCGAAGAACGTGATATTTAATAAATAAATGTAACACACAAAATGCTAAAAAAAAACGCCCCTTTGGACGTAATTTAAAATCTGAAACCTTTCAGACTTTTTTTTATTTTTATTTTTTTTTTATTTTGTTTGTTTTATATTTATTTTGTCCTTTCCTGACAGTCTTCCTTACGGCTCCGTCATTTCTAATTTTATAAATTATGCTATGGTTTCATTCGTCAAATTTCTATAAATCGCAACACCACTCACTAGCTTCGCGAAATTAAGTAAAATACAGCAAACATTTCCCAAACACATTGACTGTCTACCATACGGTCTACCACATACTCATGAGCGGTCGCGCATGCGCACGGAGATTTTTCCTCACCAAAATTCCTCTTTTTGATGCGTTGCTATGCGTATACCCTCTGCCCAATTAAAAATATATATATATGCTGGCTAATATACTCTTTCATCTATCTAATGATGTATTTAGTTTCATTGTAGCATTTGTAATTTCGAAAACATAGGCATTTGCGCACGCCTCAAATAGCGTCCTTAAATTTTGCTTTCCCACCATTACGGTGCATTACGGAGGAACGTAATCCTACGTTAAAAGGTGGGAAATTAGGATTGGGTATGCTGTTTATATTAAAGAAATACATAATTTTAGAACTTAGAAAGTAAATTGCGTGTAAATAAAATACTTAGAGATATGTTTAACACAAAGCCTGGCTACACAATCTAAAAATTCTCAATTTGCTAGCTTCATGTGAAATGTCACTGTAGTGTCAGTGATTTTAACTTCTTCAAAAATGGCGTACTGAGCAGGAAATGTGATTTTTCAAGATACACGTATTTGTTTTTAGAAAACTGCACTTATTTTAATATTTAATTGTAATAATGTTGTCTTGATCAACCCTGAGGAATTAAGCAAATGCAATTATGGTCATTTCATCTTCACCATATTTGGTATCTCTGACAAAAGAACTTTTACTATTTTCCGAATACATTGTCATTTTCAAGCTAAAAGAGGAAAGATGCTACCGAAGAAACACTTAATTTTAACCAAATTTGCATTATTTTAACCGAACTTCCAAAACTTTTCAAGGCTTAAGTAACAATATAATTTTACATAGTATTTGATTATAAGTTCCACTGCTTTGCAACAAGCAGTTTGTTTTTACTTCCTTGTACGAAGTAAAAAGGAAGTATTGTAATCTCGAAAAGCTTCAGGCAGCATATTTCAACGAAAATATCCAATTTGACCGGCTTCGAATGCAATTTAACTACGTTTTTGCGTGATATCTGTACGTAAGGACAGAATAAAAGACTCGTTTCCTCCAAAAAATTTATAAAACTGCTTTAAAATTAATTCTGAAGAGAATTTTTCGGGGCGTCTATACGAACGTATGTACGTATCTTGCATAACTCAAAAACGAGTAGCCTCAGAACGTTGAAATTTTGTATATATGACTGCTATAACATGTACATGTGCACCTCGGATTTTCGTTGCAATCGGCTGCACCAAACGTATGTAAATATATTTATATATATATCCACTCTGTTACCCGACTCAGTAATCTCAGTTTCTTTACTCGTATATGTTTGTAAATTGTACATTTTTTGCTTTAAAAATGATTGAATTCTGTAAGTAATCCTTTAGTAAATCTGTATGCAATATTTTTAGAATTATCAACAATTTTAAAGTTGTTTAAGTGCCGCTAAGCCTTTTTTTATGGCGGCCATTGATTGCTTACATTTGAAACAGCAGACTAGTGGATTTGTTGCCAATCTAGAGAAACTTAGCTTCGCAACAACAAAGATAACTAACGCTTTCATTTATTATTGCCAATTAAATCATGATTAATCCTTTCTGGAATGTTTTCGAGGAAAATAATGTTTAAAATTTACTTCGTAATTTTTAATATAGATATTTTGAGTTTTTATGTATTTTTGCCTTCTCGTGATGTGAGAACTGAATTAATTGAATAAGAAATACTCAATCGTCTGTGCAAAACTGTTTCTTTTTTGTTTTGTTTTTTGTTTGCTTAATTTCTTTTATACATCGTTCTAGCTTTGTTATAGTATTTGAATAGAACATGTGGCAACGATTAGTTAATTCTATTCTTTAAATGATATAAATTTTGTGCATTATGAGTTATAATATGAATGCAATATAATACTGTTAAGGGAATCTAGCGCCAGAGTGTCGCTATGGTAAACAAATATTAGAGTGAATTTTAAAGAATGCATTTATTCTATTATGATTCATGCGCTGTCGGCGAAGTAGATTTAATTGAATCCAATAAGTTTAAATGAAATGCAAGAAAAAGTGTGTATTTAATATTCCGCACAAGGAAGTCATGTGGTGTACACATCAGATTTTTTTTATTTATTGTCAAGGTCAGTTCCTGAATATAGGAGCATACTTGGATTGTGATTATACCCAATGTAACAAAAAGGTATACAAATATAAATCCTTCGGATAATGCACAGAATCACTAGTATTATTAGAAGAATTGTGACGTAGAATTCAGTTAAAGTAAAAACTTGTATTTCCGTCAGGATTTCCCCTTTATAGCTACTTTTAAATTACATTTTGTTGCAGGTATAAAGCGATTATAAAGGACCACGGTTGCCTTTCTGAAATTCGTGACGGTTCGTGCAAATACGTTTGGGGAGTATAAAAGGAAGTTACTTTTTCATGTACCTTTCTTTCCCTCAATACCCACTACACGCAAACTCAACATGAAGGTTATCATTCTGCTGACAAGTTTTGCTGCAGCTTTTGCTGATGGAGGTAAGTCCCTTTTTGCATTTACAATAAATGTTACAATAGAGCTACAATAAATGTTAGTTTTACTTGGAACTTATTGCAAATCTATTAATATAAAATGGTTTGTATTTCAGAATTTTTCAAAAATTTTGTCACAATTATTAAATTATGAATAAAAAACGGTAGTATCTTGACCTACCAAATTTTGAACATACTTACTCATCCCCCGAACATGTATCAAAGCTGGGGTTTTAAATTTCAAATTCTTTTTTATTCATTAGCCCAAAGGGGAGTTAGACCCAAACTGCTCTTAGTGTCAAAACGACATTTTATGTCCTTTCACTTTTTGCGTTGGTTCACTTTTCAAACTGTTGCCACCAAATATTATACAAATATTATAGCCATGTATTATATTTAAAGAAACTAAGTAATAATCTGCATTAATGCATGAATATTTATCGCATTGTGAAAAAACAACGGTACCAAAGCCATCAAATTTTGAATGACGTAGTTCTCCATTCGAACATGGGCAACTGGAAGCCCGAATTTGGAATTTGTTTTACTGTCTATTTCATATTTTATGAAGCTTTAAGGAATATTTGATTAACAAACTCAAGGATATCAAAGCGAGCAATGACAAACGCAGTAAAAAAAAAAATTATCTCCAGTGCGGCAAAATTGCGTATCGGAAATTCTTAAGATATGCACTTCTGAAATATTTTGTGATATTGTTATTGAATTGAATTTTATGTGATTTACGTGTGAAGAACGTGATGTTTAATAAATAAAGGTAACACATAAAACGTTAAAAGAAAAAGCCCTTTTGGTGCATAAAATAAAATATGAAAGTTTTCAGATTTTCTTCCTTTTTCATTTCTTTTTTCGTATTTTTTGCGAAATTAACAAACTCGGTAATTTAATAGCAATCGGTTGCCACTTGGCAAAACGTAAGCTATTTATATTTCAAACTTCAGCGATTTAGAAAAGTGTTCCCATTCAAGAAAGCCTAGAGCGGTAAGTCGCTGAACACTAGTAGTTCGGTCCAAGATTCGAATCCCGCGAACGGGCTGGCTGTATGCATTTTCGTGGTTTTCCCCATGTGTAACGTGTATACGAGCCAGTTTTCATTAGAAAGTCCTCCACGAAGGCATCCCTCCCTTAGGCAGATAGCCCTCGTGTGCTTTGCCGTAATTAAATAAACCAAATCAAACCATCAAGGAAGCCTAAGATTATTCAAATTAATAGACAAACTAAGAAAACTGACATCTACACACGCAGTGGGTTACCATTCGGCAGATATTTCATTTTTATTTTAAATTTAACCTGTCCGTTATTGATAACCAAAATACGCGATTTAAAAGCAGTAAACACTGTAATGCTTCTCTGTTATAACTAATTACTTGTTGAACCGCTGAAATGACAATAGATTGTTATTAAAGAGCATTACATATTTGTTTTCCTTTTTTTATAATAACTATGTTTACGTAGCTAACCGCGAAATAGAATAATTAAATGAATAAAATGGTTACTCTTCTGTCTGATATTCATAGAAACACAGTAATACATTTCGAATCTTTTCTGCTATAAGACGAAACGCGCCAAACAGTTTTCTTTACACATGCTCCGATTTCATATTTCCATACTGTAGTTCTAACTGAAAATTATTTCATTCTTATTTATATCAGTGTCTTGACAGTATCAGACAAAATCCAATCTGAATGTATTTTAACGCACCATTGTTGCCTCTTACAACGATGTTCATGTTCTCAAAGTAAGTATTCGTAAGTACAAAATATTAAAGAGCATCTTTATATTTTAATTCTTTTTTATTAAAATAACTAAAAAGACATGTTTCAAGTTTAAAAACATTTTACTATTATTATTAGCTTATAAGCGGAAAGAACACTCGTTTCAAAGCACTGGCAAATATAAATTTGTATATTTTTGTCAATGAAATACTTAAATAACCAAATTAAAAGTGTAAAATATCAGATGTTATACACAATGCTAAAGTTGTTTGCTATCAACGAAGTACTTTGTTCCTATAAAATGACTAATGTTATAGATTTAAGAACCTCAAACAGAAAAGCAATTACAAAATACAGTGGATGGACAAAAAGATGGAAACACCTTGTGAAATGCATGTTTGAAAAGAAAGATTGATTTTAATGAAATATGTAGGTGGCGCTGGCGTTTTCGACTACTGACGCCACCTATACTACTTCGTAAATGTGCTAAACAGTTCAGTTGTTGTCGGAGTACTGTTATGTGAGGTTGTCATTGCATTATGTCAGAATTTACAGACTTCGAACGTGGGCAAATTGTTGGAGCACGTATGGTAGGTGCTTCCGTAAGCAAGGTAGCCGAGGTGTTTAGTGGTTCAAGAGGTACTGTATCGAAGATTTATTCTACATATTTGAAAAGCGGAAAAACATCATCTGCTAAATCACAGCGCGGACGAAAGTGTGTCCTGAGTGATCGTGACAGACGATCATTAAGGGCAATTGTGACGAAAAATAAGAAGACCACAGCTGCAAAAGTTACTGCTGAAATGAATGTTGTGTTACCGAACCCTGTGAGTACCAAAACAATTAGAAGGGAGCTTCATAAACAGGGAATTGCTGGCCATGCTGCAATTGAGAAGCCACTCATCAGTGATGCTAATGCCTGTAACAGGAAAAGGTGGTGTTTAAGTCATAAAGCCTGGACTATAGAGCAGTGGAAGCGAGTAATATGGTCTGACGAGTCTTCTTTCACATTGTTTCCCACTTCTGGCCGAGTTTACGTCTGGAGAACGCCATCTCAAGCCTATAATACAGACTGCTTGTTGCCAAGAGTGAAGCATGGCGGGGATTCTGTTATGGTTTGGGCAGCCATATTGTGGTTCTCTGCTAGCCCCATGATAACTGTCTCAGGGCACATGACTGCCAAGACTTATGTGAACATTTTGGCTGATCAAGTTCATTTTTTCCCCGATGGTGATGGTGTCTTCCAAGACGACAAAGCCCCTGTTCACACAGCTCACATTGTCCAGGACTGGTTTTCTGAGCACGAGGATGAGTTGTCCCATCTCCCCTGGCCACCACAGTCACCAGACCTGAATATTATCGAACCTTTGTTGTGTACATTGGAACGGAAAGGGCGTTCTCGTTATCCACCGCCAACATCGTTATCTGAACTTGCCACCGTTTTGCAGGAAGAATTGTATAATATTCCCTTGGCAAACATACAGGAACTGTATTTATCCATTCCGAGAAGACTGCAAGCTGTTTTGGATGCCAACGGGTTTCCTACACCATGTTAAGCAAAGAAACATGTTTTTTTAAAGGTGTTTCCATATTTTTGTCCAACCCCTGTATGTTCAGATTGCTTATTGGTTTTTACTGCTAGAAATTACTGAAGTTCAGGTTTTAAAAATCTCGTGTAGAGTCCAAATTATTATATGCTATAGTTAAACAACAAATCGCGTCTGTGGTTTATTCTATTTTATATTTTATGTTTATACGTCCCAGTTACCAATTCTTAGACATGCATGTTTTTATATATAGCATAAAACTATGTTTAACTATGTTTATGCAACCGTTTAACTATATTTAACACATTTTATAATATTTATCAATATTGTTGCCTTAGTTTCTACTATTGCTTTCATCTACTACTTTATAAGCACGAACTAGTTATTAATTTGTTAAGGAATTAATTTTACATCCAATTCGAACTCAAGATAAAAGAAATCAATAACTTAAAACCATTAAAAAGCTTTAGTGTACTTAAAAACAGTAGCTCTTTAAAGGTGTGAAAAATATTTAAAACATTAAAAAATGCAAAATATATAAGCAAAAACTAATTTCTGAAAGATTTCAGATTTTATATTACCCCCAGAGCGGCGTTTCATAACCTTTACTTATTAAATATCGTGTTCTTTGCACTTAAACTATTTGCATTCAACTGAATAGCAAGATCGCATTATATAAGTGCATATCTTTAGAATATCCGATACACAATCTCATGAGCTGGAGATAAAAATGTTTTTGTTTTCGTACAGTGTTGCCATTGCTAGCTTTGAAATGCTGAGTTTCTTAATCAAAAAAACTTTAATGTTTTGCAAAATATGAAATAGGTAATAAAATAAATTCTAAATTTGGGCTTTAAGATGCCTGTATTCGAATGGAGGACTAAGTTATTTAAAATTTGATGTCTGTAAGTACTGTCGTTTATTTACAGGGCGAGAACCATACATACATTCATGCAGACTCTTCATTTTTAAATTTCTTTAAATGTAACGCAGGGCGATAATATTCGGTGGCAACAATATGAAAGGTGAACCGACATGTATGGTGAACCGACGAAAAATGCCAAAACGAAGTTAACCCTTTCCGGCACGCTACCCTTTAAAGTTGGAGCTTTGATTTCTAAATAGGCCTAAAGGAGTACACAAGTAAAGTTTTGTGAAGATAGCACTTATCGTTTTAATTCTGTGGGTGTGCCCAAAGTGGCACACTGATTGAATAGAGCTTCAAAAAGAGTGCTGAAACGAGCATTGTTGTGAATGACCTGGCCGATGAGATGCGGAGAAACAAAGAATACAGACTCTCAGTTGTCCTAGATTATCGGTGAGCCCGGTCTGGGCACTTCTAGGGTTCGCCGTTTGATTTTAGGCAATATTTCAAGGTAAAAATTTAAAACTAATATAGAATGAGTAGATTAGCATACAGCCAAAAAATAACATAGAAACTTCTTTTCAAACAATTCCTTTTATACCCTAAAAAACTCTGGAAGATTTCTTTGAAAAATGAGGGTCTTAAAAAAATAAACATGGCTAAAATATATGGAGTGGTTTGAGCTGCCATCTACTATAAATAAAGAAGTTTCAGAGTAACCTATATATCCTTTTTCATTCAATTTTTCTGTGCGTGCAGAAGGAAATTTTTAGGTGTGTCCAGACCGGACACACTGTGCCACAAAGGGTTAACAGTCCTTCTGAGCAAATTGCCTCTTTGGGCAAACAAAACGCTGCGAACTTATTCGCCGACACAATAGCTGCGCTAATTTTGCGAAACATATTCCTTTTGTGTGTGTGTGTATTTAATTATGGCAAAGCACACTAGGGCTATCTGCCTAAGGGGAGGGATGCCTTCGTGGAGGACTTTCTAAGGGAAACTGGCTATATATTCGTTTTGTACATCAACAATTAGTTTCTTTTACGTCAGCAAGTTTATTTTCAAATTGAGTAATTTTCATTATTGTTAGACAAATGTAAGACAGTTTTTTTATTCGGATAACTTCACAAAAAATTACTCACTCTTTTTTTTTTTTTTTCAGCTTGTCCTGAAAATCAGCATTATAGCTCATGCGGAACTGCCTGTCCCTTGACCTGTGAGAACTACCGAGATCCTCCAACAGCATGCATTTTAAGATGCAATGCGGGATGCCATTGTAACGAAGGATATGTCAAGACTGATGATGGTCACTGTGTGATGCCAGAAAACTGCTTGTTTCAGGATAATTGTGAGTATTCCTTTCAAGTATGTTCCGAGTTTCTAAAAACTATCAATAAGGCCTACCAATCTTGAACCATTTATATCATGATGCTTGTTATTTTGCCAATTTTATATTACATATTATATACTGCTACTGCTCATGCTTTTGTAATAGTTTTTATAGTAATACGAATTTTAATTGGTGGTTTTGGAAACTGGTTGGTTACTTTAATGTTAGAAGCCCTGATATACTTTCTTTTTAGGGAGTTAATAATCATAGCCCTTGATTATTACCTCCTTTAGTATTATCCCATAAGAGCATTAGCACTGTAGGGCTATTACTCTCGAAACGGGATTTTGCGTTGTCCCCTGTAAACAGCGAATCACTTTCTCATAATCGAATCACTTTCTGATAATTGCTCTAGAAGTCAATGTAATTCATGTTGTTGACGATTACATTTTTGTGACATCATGCTTACTTCATCTACTGTAACCTCCTTGGAATCACTTTTCAAACTGTTGCCACAAAATATTATCACCCTGTATTATTTTTAAAGAAATTAGATAATGAAAGTTCTGCATATATGTATGTGAAAACATGGTACGTAGAGTCATCAAATTTCAGTAACTTAGTCCTCCATCTGAAAATGTGCACCTGGAAAACCGAATTTTAAATTTTGAAATTTATGTTTCATATTATGTAAAATTTAAATGCATTTTTGATTAACAAACTTAGTGATTTGAAAGCGAGCAGTGGGAATACTGTATTGAATATATCATTTTTATCTCCAAGGCGCGAAACTGTCTATCGGAAATTCTAAAGGTATGCTGTTCTTGAATATTTTGCGATTTTGCTGTTGAATCAGATTTTATGTGGTGTAAGTGGAAAGATGTGATATGATGATGGCAGACGTTAACACGCAAAACGTTAATAATTAAATGATTTAAAAAAAGTTTTTCAAGCCATCTTACTACGAAGAACCGAACATTTACTATAGACTGAAAAACGATAGAAAATATATGCCAACACTTAACACTTCATCGGGAATTCTAAACATCCGCTGCTATGCTGGTTTTAAGATTTTTACAACTTCCTGTTGAATCGTATATGACATAAATTAGAAGAAAATGGTGGTTAATAATAAAGCTAGCAGGAATGAGTGCAACAGCAGACTGGTATAGACTGAGAGCTCAGCGAGAGCGTAAAAAACCTTAACAAACCCTTTGGGCGACCGTTAAAATCCGAAACCTTCCAGATTTTTTTTAGTCCCTTGTCCCTGAAGGACTGTTGTTTTCGTTTTGCGGTTTTGCGTTGAATCACTATAAATGTCCGTTTCACTTTTCAAACTGTTGCCAACCAATGTTACAGTCCTGCATTATATTTGAAGAAATTAAATAATGAAAAATCTGCATAAATGTATTTATATTTCTCGCATTGTAATAAAACAACGGTACATAGAGCCATCGAGTTTTGAATGACGTAATCCTCCTACGAATATGGGCATGTAGAAGATCAATTTTGATATTTGGAATATGTTTTACGATCGATTTCATATTTTGTAAAACTTTAACGAATTTTTAGTAACAAACTCAACGATTTAAAAGCAAGCAATGGCAACACTCTACGGAGGGAAAAAAAAACCTTTTTAATCTCCAGCGCAGAACTGTGTAACGGAAATCCTAAAAATATGCTCATTTCAAGACTATTTTGCGACATTGCTATTGAACTGAATTTTATGTTTTAAGTGCAAAGAACGTGATATTTAATAAATAAATGTAACACACAAAACGTTAAAAAAAAAGTAAAAAAAAAAAAAAAAAAACCTTTTGGACGTACTTTAAAATCTGAAAACTTTCAGATTTTTTTTTTTTTTTTTTTTTTTTTTTTTTTTTTTTTTTTTTTGACTGTTACTTATGTCTTCAATAGCAGAAATAAGAGTAGGAACATGGTGAATTTTTATCAATTTTTAGGTTAATTTGTGAAAATTACACTTGATTCTATACATTAAAAAATAATGCTATCAGTACTAATTAGCTGCCAAATATCCACAAATGGTTCAGTAAATATGATTAAATATATGGTTTTTATCTCCAGAGAAGATACATCTGCAATATTCTGCAGCATTTTGAAAGTTATAAGGCATTTCTCCCGCCTTCCTAGCGTGCTTCGTGGTGTAGTGGTTCTTCACGCTGGGCCGGTATTCTAGAGGTCCGTGGTTCGATTCCCGGCGAAGGCGTTGCTAATTTTTCATCTTGCCTGCTTCTAAAAATACCTAATGCCTCTATAAAGTTTCCAAATAGGCCGAAACAACACTGCAACATGAGTTCACGTACATACTGTCGCATGAATACAGGTTCGTAATAGATTGAATACACAGGTCCGATAAAAGGTTAATTTATTCTTATCAAAAGAAATATAACAGAACGCTGGAATTTTTTCTCAGAGATATTCCCACAAGTGTTCACAATATCAAGCAATTATAATCAGTAGTTATACTTCAAACTACTAAGAGCTCTAAAATACAAGGCAATGCAATGCTTTATCGAAAGAGAGAGCTAATTCGAGTGTCTCGGTTCCCGCAGAACTAAATAAATCGCAATAACAATAACTGAGTAACTAACTAAACAACTCAGCTGACATGTCTCTCTCCGTCTTTAAATAGTTTTCAAACAGTCGCGCGAAATATATTTTTCTACTTCTTTCATTTTCTACTTCTCGAGATTTCTGGAAACCAATAATAGGATGCAATTACGGTTACAGCTAACACAGTAGCCAATTACATTTATTCAATTTCAATACAAATTATTGAGATATCCATTTATTCATTGCTGAACGCACGTATTTTTTTCTGTATTTTTACGTTTTTGGCATAGCTTTTTCTTAAAATTTGTCTCGCGCTGCGTGGCATGGAGAAATACAATTTTAATTATTAAGCCAAAGGGGCTTTGTCCCTGAGGGACTATTGTTTTCGTTTTGCGATTGACTATAAATGGATATATTACTTTTCAAACTGATGCCACCAAATATTATCGCCCTGTATTATATTTGAATAAATTAAATAATGAAGAATATTCATAAATGTACGTATATTTCTCGCATTGTGATAAAACAACGGTTCCTAGAGACATCGAATTTTGAATGACGTAATCCTCCTGCGAATATGAGCATCTGGAAGCCCAAATTTGAAATTTGGAATTTGTTTTATTATCGATTTCATATTTTGTAAAACTTTAACGAATTTTTGATTAACATTCTCAAGGATTTCAAAGCGAGGAATGACAACATTCTTTCAGAAACTGTTTTCATCAGAAAAACTTATTACTAAGCTAATCGGCAAATAATATTGTGAAAATCTGAAAAATTGCCAGTTAGAGCGACATCTCCATGTACCGTTGTAGAACTTTATATATAAAATTTGAAAAATTGCCAGTTAGAGCGGCATCTCCATGTATCGTTATAGTACTTTATATATAAAATTTGAAAATTGCCAGTTAGACCCACATCTCCATGTACCGTTGTAGAACTTTATATATAAAATTTGCAAAATTGCCAGTTAGAGCATGTACCGTTGTATAATTTTATATATAAAGTACTACAACGGTACATGGTATCTCCATGTACCGTTGTAGTACTTTATATATAAAATTTGAAAATTGCCAGTTAGAACCACATCTCCATATACCGTTGTAGAACTTTATATATAAAATTTGCAAAATTGCCAGTTAGAGCGGCATCTCCATGTACCGTTGTAGTACTTTATATGTAAAATTTGAAAATTGCCAGTTAAAACCACATCTCCATGTACCGTTGTAGTACTTCATATATAAAATTTGAAAATTGCCAGTTAGACCCACATCTCCATGTATCGTTGTAGAACTTTATATATAAAATTTGCAAAATTGCCAGTTAGAGCGGCATCTCCATGTACCGTTGTAGTACTTTATATGTAAAATTTGAAAATTGCCAGTTAGAACCACATCTCCATGTACCGTTGTAGAACTTTATACATAAAAATTGAAAAATTGCCAGTTATACCCACATCTCCATGTATCGTTGTAGAACTTTATATATAAAATTTAAAAAATTGCCAGTTATACCCACATCTCCATGTACCGTTGTAGAAATTTATGCATAAAATTTGAAACATTGCCAATTAGACCAACATCTCCATGTACCGTTGTAGAACTTTATACATAAAATTTGAAAAATTGCCAGTTAGAGCCACATTTCCATATACCGTTGTAGTACTTTATATATATTTATATATTGGGATTACAAATTATGGCAAGCACCCAAGCTCAAAATGCCAAATTTCCAGAATTCTCCAAGCTATGGTAACCAAGCGCATACTAATTATTCAAGCAAACCTGTGCATGACAAATATACCAATTTCCTGCATCGCCATTTCCGTATATGTTCTTTTTGTTGTGTTCCGAGTTCCAACTGCTTTTCTAGAAAAATTATAATTATGTTTCGTCCTAAATTCGGTTTTAAAATTTGTGCTTGTGAGATTTTCCTCTAATAGAAGAAAGAAAGGGGAAATTTTTCAAGAAGTATATTATTTTACTGCAAAATCTCTAAAGGAAAAATGCTTCGAATCTTTTTCGAAGCGAAGGCTACGAAACTTTCACCGCAAAAAAACCAAAACCCATTTGCAACTACGTTTACTCATTGTTTTTCTACTATGGTAAATAGGTTTACTGTTTACTTTCTACTGTTGGGACTAAATTTACTGATTGTTTGCGTACTGAAACCGTGGAGATTTTTAATAAGGTAGTTGCGATAATATGTAAGTACCATAAATACGTAATTGAGAAGTAATATTTAGTATATATAACCAGAGGGCCATGTAAACTTTACATTTAACCAAGCAAATAACAAAGAATTATAATTATAAGAAAAAACACTACATGGAAGAATTACATGCCAAAAGTAATAAAAGTAACATAAAGCAATTACTCTTGGATAAGAGGAAAAGTTATGTCCATGCAAAAAGCTGTCGAATCTCTTTTTAACTAACGGTTCAGATGTTTGATGTTTCATTTTTTTTTTACTGTTGCCATTTAGCGTTAGGTTATAGACTCCCCCTCGGGCTCTGATGACGTCTCGACGAAGAGTCCGCAAGATATTTCACATTCATCTCTATGAAGAGTAAACCGGGAATCTTTTGATGACGAGTTTGAAATGATAGATTTAACTGCACAGAATCAGGATGATTCTCCAAAACATCAATGAATCGGGATGATTCATTTAACATGGAATCAGGGTTATTCCACTCAAACTTCACAGAATCGTTATGATTCATTTAACATGGAATAGGGATGATTCCCTGAAACATCACTGAATCGGAATGATTCACTTAACATAGAATTAGTTCTTGAAAAGTTCATTATATGGGGTTGGATATCCCCCTGGTTTGAAGCCACTCTCGAATTCTAAAAGCCAAATTACAATATCATATCCATCCTACTGTAAAAGGAACTTTGAAAGTAAAAATTTTGAAAATGTCAGAATAGTTCGAAGGCAACTTAGGCAGCATCTGTGGAATTACTATTTTGTTTATCTTCATTACTTTTGCTAGACGACTGCACTTAATGCAACACATTTTTGAGCCACTTATTTTCCTTTTCTAAATTTGAATTTTATTTCTTAACTTCTCTTAATTCTATGAGAGTATTAAAAGGTTCACTAGAACAATCATCTGTTGTAGAACTAGAGCCTTTCAGTTTTGAAACCGTTTTCTCCCCTTCATCATCAAGATCTTATTTTTCTTCTTCCAAGCCTTTGTTGAGTTGCTCCATTTCTTCGCAGGTTTTTCAAATAGAGTTTTAGGTTTCTTCTCTAACCAATGATAACTGAGACTAATAAGATTGAATTTAGGATCTGAAGAATTTCCACATTTATTCTTTGGTTCGTCCGTTCCAGTAGCTTTGACTTTTAATGACATATTTTCAGTCATTTCCTTCTGTTGATCCATTTCTTTTTTATTCTCAAATATTATTTCTTTTTATTTAGAAAATTAAACATGCTTTCACTCTATGTTAAACTATCATAATCAATTTAACTTTATATAAAATACAATTCCTAGTTACTACATGATTGCTTTACAATAAGCGCAAGGACATTGGATTAATCCTTCACTCCTAGGGTGGCTGTTAATTTCCAGATTGTCAAAAATCAAAATTTTCCATATCACCAGAGTGGTAATTTTCTTTTTTTAACGCAGGAAGAGCTCGAAGTAAAAAATTGCGCTCCTCTTCCGGTAATAAGTTTTAAATTTTTGAGGCTTCGGTCCCACGTTGGACGCCATTTTCTTTTTTATAGCGTTGTGACCACGGCTAGCTGTAAAGTTGTTAAACAAAACTGGTAAAATTTAAAACATACAAACTTTAACATTTAACAAAAGGAATTTAATTAAACACAAACACTACATAAAGAAAGTTACATGACAAAACTAACAAGAAGTAACACAAAGAAATATTACTCAAACGAAAATAAAAGTTCATGTTCATAGTCCTCTGCCGAAACTCAAACTAAACAGTTCGAGCGTAGGTGTTTTGAATAGCGTCCGATAAGGTGGCGCTGCAGTACATGAGGCTGTTTGCTAGCGTTCGTTACATATATGTATATATATTTCTTTCAATAAAAGTAATCGTTCTTTTTCTTCCGTAAAATTCTCCATACTGGGCGAAGGTAGTTGCGATAATACGTAAGTACCGTGGTTCATTAATTAGCTACAATATATTAGTAACTAATTATCTCATCATTGTGTATTTTTATATGAAAAATATTTTTCCAAAATTGCTGAGCGTTTAAGGTTGGTACAATTGTCTCGTAAGATGACTCGTGTCTAAATATCGATTCGCAGCATATTTAGTAAGGCTCTGAAATTGTTTCGTCAAGATTGAGACACGACCACCAGCGGCCGAGCGGTAAAGTCCCTGAACACTGGTAGTTCGGTCCGAGGCTTGAATCGCACAAACAAGCTCGCTGCATGGACGTTTTTGAGGTTTTCCCCATGCTTAAGGTGTTGATACGAGTCAGTTTTCCTTAGAAAGTCCTCCAGGAAGGCATCCCTTCCTTCCGTGTAGAGTCTTAGGGCGAAACACGTAATAATAATACTATTAAAAATAATAATAATATTAAAACATATGTCAACCGTTTCAGATTTCATTTTTGTAAAAGTTTTGAAGATTTGTTAATTTTTCGTACTTTTTAATGAGCAACAGATGTGTCAATTTATTTTATTCCGTTTTACTTTCGAACAGACGTAAGAACGCAGCATCCTGTTTCTGACATTTGCAACTTAACTGCCGACGCGGGTGACTGCCGCGCCTCAGTTCTTAGATACTACTTCGACAAGTCTACCGGACAGTGCCAGGCATTTGTATATGGAGGCTGCAACGGAAATGCAAACAATTTCCGGTCAGAAAACGAATGTGAACAAACTTGCTTTAGAACAGCAGGTATTTACTGAGATTTCATACTCCATTTTTTCGCCTCATTCATACTCAAAGTTTCATGGATATGTATTGTATGTATTGTTGCTTGTGTACTGGTTCTTAACAGATTGAATGCACAAATCCGATAATAATTTAATAAAAATTTATTTTTATCAAAAGAAATATTTCAGAACTCTGTAGTGTTTTAAAAAATTGTGCAGGTGTTCACAGGATAATCCGTAATTACACTTCAAACTACTAAGAACGTTAAATACAACGCACAGCAAAGCGCATCTTAAGAGAAAGCTAAGCCGATCTCACTTTGAACTCCCAACAATAACAACAGCAGCTAACTAAACAACTGAGAGCAGATGCTCTCACTTAAATAGTTTTCAACCGGCCGCGAGACATTTCTAGTACTTTCTGCTTCTCGAAATTGCTGAAAAGCAATACGAGGGTGGAATTATGGTTACAGCTAACATAGTGGTCAATTACATTTATTCAATTTCAGTACAAAATACAGAGATACCCATTTACTCAATGTTAAATGCTCGTGCCCCTTATTCTTACATTTCCGACAGAGCATTCTCTTAAAATTTGTCTCGCGTTACATTACACAGAAAAATACAACAATTTTACCTATAATTCTACTAAAATTACCTATCTAAATACAAATTCGTAGTAGTATTCTTAAAAAACTCGACTTTATAATAACTGATTATGTATATTATATCCATACAAACTATAAATGACAACAGAAAGACTTCGAAGTCTTTCTAAGTACTTAGATGTCTTTCTAAGTTCTATCTAAGTACAAAATTCGTAGTAGTATTCTTAAAAAACTCGACTTTATAATAACTGATTATGTATATTATATCCATACAAACTATAAATGACAACAGAAAGACTTCGAAGTCTTTCTAAGTACTTAGATGTCTTTCTAAGTTCTATCTAAGTACAAAATTCGTAGTAGTATTCTTAAAAAACTCGACTTTATAATAACTGATTATGCATATTATATCCATACAAACTATAAATGACAATAAAAAGACTTCTAAGTCTTTCTAAGTACTTAGATGTCTTTCTAAGTCCTATCTAAGTACAAAATTCGTAGTAGTATTCTTAAAAAAAATCGACTTTATAATAACTGATTATGCATATTATATCCATACAAACTATAAATGACAATAGAAAGAATTCTAAGTCTTTCTAAGACATCTAAGTCTTTCTAAGTCCTATCTAAGCAGAAAATTCGTAGTAGTATTCTTAAAAAACTCGACTTTATAATAACCGAGTATGTATATTATATCCATACAAACTATAAATGACAACAGAAAGACTTCTAAGTCTTTCTAAGTACTTAGATGTCTTTCTAAGTCCTATCTAAGTACAATATTCGTAGTAGTATTCTTAAAAAAACTCGACTTTATAATAACTGATTATGCATATTATATCCATACAAACTATAAATGACAATAGAAAGAATTCTAAGTCTTTCTAAGACATCTAAGTCTTCTAAGTACTTAGATGTCTTTCTAAGTCCTATCTAAGCACAAAATTCGTAGTAGTATTCTTAAAAAACTCCACTTTATAATAACTGATTATGTATATTATATCCATACAAACTATAAATGACAATAGAAAGACTTCTAAGTCTTTCTAAATAATTAGATGTCTTTCAAAGTTCTATCTAAGTACAAAATTCGTAGTAGTATTCTTAAAAAAAACTCGATTTTATAATAGCTGATTATGCATATTATATCCATACAAACTATAAATGACAATAGAAAGTCTTTAAGACATCTAAGTTTTCTAAGTACTTAGATGTCTTTCTAAGCCCTATCTAAGCACAAAATTCGTAGTAGTATTCTTAAAAAACTCGACTTTATAATAACTGATTATGCACATTATAGCCATACAAACTATAAAGGACAATACAAAGACTTAGGCTGCTTGTAACAAATTTCTGTGCTTGCAAAATAACGGTCTATACTTAGGCATTTATAACAGCGTATAAATGCGGAAAAAGCACATTAATGGAGCTTCCATAATAATGTACGTCTTACTCTTATGTGCTTGATGTATTATTCCTGGTAGTTCGGAGGCTTCCATGATGCATCAAGTATGTTCAGTGGAAGATCAGGTATTAGGTCATCCCGGTCATCTGCGGTTTTTCAAATCGAAGCGTTTTTTTTTTACTTATTACTTTGTTGCTACTGGCACAGAGTGACGTTTGCGTAATGCGGATATTTAAATACGATCTCTTTTATTCACTTTGTATAATTCTAGCCTGTGTTGTGGCATAATTTTTGCTTCAGTGCAGTGCTAAATATGCAAAACACAAACTTTCTTTTTCGTCATACTATATTTTATTTAAAAAAAAATATGATATGGACATCACATGACTTCCTTGTACGGCCTACTAAATTGTACGCGTTTTGGGCTGCATTTCATTTTAAACTTATTTCCTGGAATTATTCTAACTTAATTAACCCAAGGCAAGTTGAAAATGACATCAAAAATTGCAAATTTTGAAGTTAAATATCTCGCTCAATTTTGTCATAAAGGAGTCAAACTTCTTCAAATTTATTATTTTATAACGAGTATAACACTTTCCCAAATATCAGTTTACGAACAGGGAAGCTACATTAAATTTCGATATTTGCCGAAATTTTTTTTTTTTTAAATTTGACATTTGACAAAACAGGAATATCTTCTTCATTCAAAACACTTTTGCATACGGAAGTATATGACTAAGACCAACGATTGCGAAAATAAAGGTAGGGTAAAGGTCTTAAGCCGGATAACAGGGTGGTTACATATATATATATATATATATATATATATATATATATATATATACATATATTTACGTTTGGCACTGCTGATTGCAATAAAAGAGAGAAATGCTCAACGTGATGTTATAGCAGTCCCATATACAAAAATTCAACGTTTTACGGCCAGTCAGTTATGACATACATACATACGTACAGACGTCACGAAAAAAATCCCTTTTGAATCTATTTAAAGAGGGCTCATACACCTTAAACCCTCATGAGCTTCGAATTATGTGACTGTTGCAAGAATTGAGATATTTTACTTATTTTAAAAGTAATTACCTCCAACCTTTTACCGCTGACTACATAATATAGCTGCTTTGGAAACTAGTAACCAGAAAGTTTGTGTTGCCACAGATATTTTTGTAATTTAATCAGCTTTGTGACAAAATTTTTCATCATTTTTCCACCTTGCGCGCATGATATTTTAAAAATGGCTAATGGTACGTACTTGAAATTGGATGGAATTATTTATATGGGCACTATTTTCTAAGTGAGTCCAAAATCTGATGAATATTTTAATATTAAAAAATTTTATGCACGGAATCATAACAGTTTTTTTTAATAAAATACATTTCGTAAACTCAACTCCAAATAAAATAAAAATTCAACATGAAATTCTCAGTTTTTTTGGTTTACAGTAGTTTTCAAATATTATAAAAGCTATATATAAACTGTACAAACATACACATGCCATACAGAAAATCATGCAAATGGACTTCATTTACTTTGTACAAAGAAGTAAAAAGGGACAGAAAATGGTAGTCATACTGCTCTTTGTGCTATGTATGGAAAAAGTGCTGTTTTCTGTCCACAGTGTTCAAGGTAGTTTAAGAAGTTTAAGTATGAAAATATCAGCCGAGAAGATGTTATCCGTTCGGATGACTAGTGTCTGTAAATAAGAACGTATTAAAAGAAGCTGTCTCGAAAAATCCACATTAAACGATTCAGTACATACCAGGCATAATACACATCCGGTCAGTACAAGTCCAGTACAGCGATCATTTGACTAGATCTGGTACGATGTACAAATATCCCATACTTGCTTATGTAGGACTCTTTTCCGAAAAAAGCATAAAGAAGCTCGTTTTTCTTGAAACGGGGTAAGAACCGGGTACTAGGGTACTAATACTATTTACAAGAAAACGATTATGGGAAAGCCAAACAGAATCTCTTTTAGTAACTTCAAGAGGAGCTGCTGCATCGAAAGCGAGATTTTTGAAGAATTTTTTTCAAACTGCAATATGAAAAACTTTTCCTTCATTTGTAATTTTTAATTCTTCTGAATAGAATTATTTCTGGTTTGTTTATTAAAATCAGAATTACAGAGCATAGTATTAATGTCCATAAAACGAATTGGTTCTAAGGCAAGAGATTTTAAAAGAAGTTGAAATTTTTAAACTAGAATTAAATATCTAAGACATTACTTATTCAATGGTTTATTTTTATCGACGATAAAATGTGCTAAAATATTTTATCAATCAAAATATATGTTAAATTCATAAAGTGTAGAATATTTGCTAATGCACTGTTTCAACGAAACCAGGATAAGAGCATTTAAAATTTATTATGTTTATAAAGCTAATAATGTAAGCGAAGAACCTCACCTAATGCACTGTTTCAACGAAAACAAAATAATTAAAATTTATTATGTTTATGAAGCTAATCATTTAAGCAAAGAACTGCACCTTTTTTCTTAGCTGAACCATCAAAAGTAGACTGCAGCGCCTCGGCCGACAGTGGACATTGTTATGCCTCCTTGATAAGATACTTCTACGATCAAAATGAGGGAACTTGCAAAAATTTTACATATGGAGGATGTGGTGGTAATTCCAATAATTTCTACACGGAAGAGGAATGCAGAGAAAACTGCGAAGGTAATATTTGCTTCCCATGATTGGAAATTGATTTATTTATTAAACCCAATAATTTTTATAATGATTTATTTATGGAAGTATTTATGATTCATAAACTAGAAATTCATCAACTCATTAACTGCACTCATTTTTATTCTGATGACGAACAAACGTGACTTCTGACAAAGCACGGACTGTTTAGAAAACAGTCAATTTTGGTTACTTCTGAGGGAGTGAATTGTTTGAGATTAATTCTATTTATGTCCAATTATAAGAACGTAAAAATTTAATAGTACATGTTTTTTCTTTCTTATTTCATTTTTGCGCTTTTTCCTTTTTGAATAGCTACTTCTGTTTGTGAGCAAGCGAAAATGGCTGGAACATGCACAGGTGCATTTCGTCGTTACTATTTCAACAAGTTGTCTGGACAGTGTGAACTGTTCGTCTACGGTGGATGCGGAGGAAATGGGAACAATTTCTTAACCAAAGAACACTGCGAATCTTTATGTGTGGGTAAGCCTTTTTTCTGAAAGCTATCAAAAAACTGTCAGGTGGATTATGTATGCTTTTTGAAATATAAGTATAGGAAGCAGGATTCCGCATTAAAAATTATATTTCTTCCCTTAAAGTTTGACGTTTTTCTTCATGACTATATTTCTTCACTTAAAGTACGAAATATGAATGTTTTTGCCATTTAAAACACTTCTGTAAATGGGAGGATATGAGAGAGGCCAGAGATTGGGACAATAAGGACACGCGTAAGGATTTTTAAGTTGGGTAAGACAATGAGCCTCCTCCTCGTAAAACACCTCCAAAAATTTAATGCTAGTAGATTAAATTAAATACCACAAATTTAGATCGAAATATAAATAGAAAAATGCCTTGTTCTTGCATCTTCCAAGTTTCTGTAAAACCGTAATTGAAACGGCTTAGATACAATAATGTTTAATCGCTCTCAAACCGCTAGCAGACATCTCAGCCAACCTCAACTGCGAGTCGAAATAAATACACTCATGTCCATAAATTAAGGATAATGCAAAATCAGGCAATGGAAGAGTTAGAAGCAAAACAAATTTGACTTATTTGTAAAGCTTATTTATTAAACAAAAGGTAAAGAGCAAAAAAAGATGCTATATGTTTGATATTATTAAAAAAATTAGCGACTTTTTCTCCCTGGAGCAAATTACAAAAAAAAACTATTTACAAAAAACCACTATTACATGGTTGGTATGATTGTTAATACATTGTATGTCTCCCAGACGATGCAATACAGTCCGTACAACGCCTAGGCATGTTGAGTATCAAATTATCGATCTGATCTTGGGGCATATTACACCACTCAAAAGGCAATGCTGTCCGAAGTTCCGGTAGACATGTAGGAGGAGGTTGACGGGCTGCAACTCGTCAGCCAAGCATGTCCCACACGTGCTATACTGGATTCAAGTCCGGTGAGAATGCTGGCCAATCCATATGGGTGATATCCTCAGATTGAAGGCATTCGCTTACGATTTTTGCACGGTGAGGACGGGCGTTGTCATCCATAAACACAAATTGTACGCCCATGGCGCCCCGAAACAAACGTACATGTTGTTCCAGAATGACGTCCCGATAGATTTGCTTTGTCAATGTTCCAATATGAACATGCAGGTCAGTTCTGAACCCAGAATAATTCCACCCCAAACGAGCACTCCTGCACCACCGTAACGGTGTCGTTCAATGATGTTTTCTTGGTGGTAACGGGTACCTGGAGCTCTCCATATGAAAGTCCGGCGAGAATCAGACTGCAAGCTAAACCTGGACTCGTCGGAAAACATAACACAAGCCCACTGTTACGGTATCTACAATGCATGCTCTCTACTCCAGGCTAACCGCAGGCGACAGTGCTGAAGAGAGCTGACGAGACAGGTCTGAGGCTGTGCTCCGCCTGTTTCTTTTGGCAGTAACTGCTAAATACCGGTCCTCATTCGGCGTTGTAACTCTAGGGCGACCTGTGCTATAACGTCTACTCACATTACCATTATATTGGAATCGTTGCCAAAGCCTGGAGATGACACTCTGGGCAATTACAAGTTCGTCTGATACTTCCAGTTGGGTACGCCCACATTCCAGACGGCCGATAATTCTACCACGTAAAAAATCATCCAAATGCGTCCTTTGTGTCATAACTATTCGGTTATTGCACTGAAATGCTTGTAAAGCGCCTGCGAACAATTTTACTTCTTCGCCTGTATTCCTTATGTATCACTCTCTTACACTCTCGTCATTGTGAGGTACCATCGGTGTCATCTGGTTACTTCCTGAAATTTGCATAAAATTCTTGAAGATGTGTGTAGTGATTTTACAGGTGATATATTTATTTTAGAGTTCGATTTCCGCGTGACTCCGAATTATCCTTAATTTATGGACATGAGTGTATTTCCAAGAATCTTCGTTTCCAGCATAGCTGATTAGTTGATTTACAGGAAGGTAACTTCTTTAGCGAAGATCTAAGCCAGAAAAAGCTGCAAGCGAAACATTTTTTCCAGCATCGAAAATGTTCTAGGTACACATTCCCAACACTTGCCTGAACCCAACTACTTCGGCTCGAAACCTTCCGTTACAAAATGCGGGAGAAATCCGTTTTTCCAAAACGTTTCCTACAATGCCGTCTAATGTATGATAACTGAATTAGCACATTAATACACCAACTGCGGAAAGCTAAGCACTTCGGGTGCGTCACAGCGACATCTATTTCAAACAGTAAAATATGTCTTATACAAGGACCAATATAATAATTCTGATGATATAGTTGCTGCTTTAAAATAGGCACTTTAAGGTCGTAGCTAACCTCCCATTATTTAAGACCATATCATATGTCTCCATCACCACACAGAAGATTTTAGTAAATTAGATGACTGGACCTCTTTTTCGTGACAGTCATTATCATGGTTATGAAGAATGATTTGGAGAGAAAATGGCTTTGAAGTGTCTATTCTAAAGCAATAGACTGTAATAATGTGTACTATTAAACTTATGTCAAATTAAAGTGTAGTGTTAATGCAAGAGTGTTACAAGTGTGGAAACACACATCAAGAGCTTTTATTTTCTAAATGGTTAAGAACGACACCAGGAGTAAAATTTACATTTTGCTTATGGCGGTGTGCGAAACCAAGAAAAGAGCCGCGTGGAATATTAATTTTTGATCCTTTTTTAAACAGATATCTCTGTCTGTGAGCAAGAGAAAGTTATTGGTCCATGTCGAGCTGCATTCCAGAGATTCTTTTTCAATAAAGAGACCAGAACATGTAAGCCGTTCATCTATGGGGGCTGCCGAGGGAATGGCAACAACTTTTTGACTCAAAACGACTGCGAATCTGCTTGTGTTGGTACGATCTTTATCATTTACGCCCCAGTTTTTGTACACCATGTTATTTCTAAGTCAGTTGTTTCATTTTTCGGGCTTTTTGGCAAAAATAGACACTTAGCGAAAAAAGGAAAAAAGAAAGCAAGAAATTTCTAAGCAGAAAATATCTGAATGCTTTCACATTTTATATTCCGCCCAAAGGGACGTTTTTAACGTTTTGTCTGTACCTGTATTTATTAAATATCATGTTTTTCGCAATTAACACATAAAATTCAATTCAACAGCAGCATACCTTTAGAATTTCCGATACACAGTCTCGTGCATTGGAGATAGAAAAGGTTTTTTTTTTTTTTTTTTTTTTTTTTTTTTTTTTTTTTTTTTCCACTACAGTGTTGCCATTGCTCCCTTTGGAAATCGCTGAGTTTCTTAATGAAAAACTCATATATGTTATACAAAATATGAAACAGATAATAAAACAAATTCCAAATTCGGGCTTCCAGGTGCCCATAATCGGGTGAAAACGTACGTTATTCAAAATTTGATGGCTCCATGTACCGTTGTTTTATCACAATGCGAGAAACATACATACATTTATGTAGACTCTTCATTATTTAATTTCTATAAATATAATACAGGTCTCTAATTTATATAGATTATAAACAGGTCTCTAATTATAAATAAATACAGGTATAAAATATAATACAGTCTGGCCATTAGGAGGCATGTATTTCAAATAATGCATCCATTGTGGAGATTTCTGGTTCTAGACAAATTGCCATTATGAGTACGAAGAAATATTATATAAATATATGGAAAGAGGTGTGGAAATGTTCAACAAGGGAAAATAAATTGTTGATTAATACTGAAATTACAGATAAAGTTTTAATCCATGATGACATTGATATGAATCAGATTATCACCGGACGTGGCAGGTTTCCTCATTATTTAAAGAGATTTCATGTACAAGATAATGATCTATGTCTAAATTGTAATGTTTTGGATGATGCCAAACACTTCGTGGTGGATTGCCAATTGACTGATTTTATTAGACTAAGTTTTAGTGATATACATTTTGATTTATTGAATTTTAATTTTAAACATTTGAAATTATATGCAAGAGAATTGATGGCCTTTATTAATGGCAATAGACATGCATTGGGGTTTTTACTAAGTTCGTTTTATTTTCAATGTGTTTATTTTAGGATGTCTTTTCCGTCGTGTTTTGATGATATGTGTGACTGTATGTCATATTTTCGTTGTGTGTTTTATGTGTGTTTCCTTCCTTATTTTATGTTATCGTTTTTACTAATAGGGTTTTCTTGATTTTTTTGGTTTTCTTCTTTCCTGTTGTGTAGTTAATCCAGCCATTTAAAAAAAAATTATATGGTTGTATGGCAACCTAGGGATGTATAATTATTATTTTCTTTAGTTGATTATACTAACATTTTAGTTACTCGGAATACCGGCTTGGTTTCTTGGAGCTTTGAATTTAAGTAAAATGTAAAGTTGCTCGTGTATAATATCTTGGATTAGTTGTTCTTTTTTTTATTAATCTGGCGTTTTAACTTTTCTTGGGGGACTCTCCGGGTAGCTGGCTGCCTTCGCTTGTGGCGTGAATGGGACGCCCCTTTTTGGACCATAAGATCACTTTGTGATCAGGCGGGTTAGGGCGTTCTAGCAAAAACAAAAAACAGGTCTCTAATATTTGGTGGCAACAATTTAAAAAGTGATTCGTCGCTTATAGTGAATCAACGCAAAATGCCAAAACGAAATTAATAGCGCTTCTGGGAAAATTGCCCCTTTAGGCTAAAAACAAACCTTTTATCTTCAGCGCACGAGACTGTGTATCGGAAATTCTAAAGATATGTGCTCTTTTTAAATATCTTTGTTATTGCTGTTGAAGTGAATTTTATGGTTTAAGTGCGAAAATTGATATTTAATAAATAAATATAATACACAAAGCGTTAAAAAACGCACCTTTGGGCGTAATTTAAAATCTGAAAGCTTACAGGTTTTTTACTTTTTTTATTAAACTTTTCTTCGACACATAAATATACGTATGTTTATAAGTAAATAATTATAAACGCCTTTTATTTCATACTAAAGCAAACACTTAACCCTTTGCTGCTCAGTGTTCCACTACATGGAATTGTAGTGATTGAACTGAATCGCTTTGAAACGCTTCTAAAATTGAATCGCTTCTGAAACCGTTAAATTCAACCGTAAATGGATAAAAATGCCTTTATAATATACTTCAAACTTCTCTTTTTAAATAGTAGATGAGAGCATATCACAAGGAGACCCAGAATTTTCATTTATGATGTGTTATTAAAATCTACTAATTTTCTAGTAATTTTCTATAGTATTTTTTATATATTTTTTTACATTTTTTACATTTTTTTCATACATTTTTTTACATTTTTTTTTTACATTTTTACATTTTTTTATTTTTTTACAAAAAGCATTCGCAGAATCATTAAATTAAACGGGGTGTTGAATTAGCGGGAACACTGCGCCTTTAGCGATCTCATGCTATTACGCATCAGAAGATCTGTCTTAGGAGAAAACATCTGTTGTATATGTTTTCTATTTACGTTGTTTTGGGGGAATGAATTCAAACGAAGCAGTCTTGAGGGGTGAGGTGTGGTTTGTGCTATGAAAGCCCTAATATGGGCTGGGCATCTTGAAATTTTTGTGAGTAGTTTTCAGGCGGGAATTTTATCAGTAGCTGGAGTCATCTTTACTTAGGGGAGTTCCACGAATTATTTTACTATCGCTTTTTAGTCTCATTCCCGTTTATTTACAATAGTTTTGTAGATATTTTTGTGTATGTATATCTTATATCTTATTTTTCTTTATTGTTAATATTAATTGCAGTTAATTTTTTATTATTAATTTTCCATAAATGGCAGGAAAACTCTTTCCGAAGAGGAAAGTTTTTTTCCTCTTTTATCTTTCTTTTTACTTGGAATTCTAAGCATACTGTTGCACGGAACAGAAGACGCACAAAACAAGTTTTTTGTTCAAAACCTGCAAAGTTGGTTTGTGCTTCTATCAAAAAGATGTCACATGCTTTGAAAATTTCACGAAGCTATGAATTCGAAAAATTTGTAAATATTTTTGTATATAGGACTTGTGTATATACATGTATTTATCTCATTTATCCATATATATTCAAGAAAGTTGTGTATATCCAGAAAACCATGTATTCAACTGTAATACAGTGTTTTTCATTACTATACATAAGCTTCTACTCATTTCCGTGCTTCACTGCAATGCTCGCTTAGTCGCACTTTTAAGAGCTCTGGTGGTGCGGTGTTCCACCTCATGGAACACCCACAGAATTGAAACAGTAAGTACAATTTTTACAAAATTTTATCTGTATACTCCTTTAGACCTAGATAGACTGCATACAACTTTTCATGTTGAAATACTGACTTTAAAGTGTAGTGCACCACAAAGGGAGTTCTTACAAAGTTTGCAGCCTCAGAGAAATAGTACTAGAAATTATCTTCATCGCAGGTTGTAAATGCTCAGTCGATCATATTTGGTGGCAATAATTTAGAAAGTGATACAACGCATTAAATGTTTCGACGTGAAACGGCGTTTCGAGACCACTATCCCATTCGGGACTAACTTTCCTGTAGCGGCTAATAATTTTCAAAATGATACAAAAATTTAATTCTTAAAACTAACGAAATAAATGAGCGAAAGTTTACCTAGAGAAAAGTCATGTCCTATTCGGGATTGGTTCGCTTCGAAAATACCGGTTTCACTGATGCGTTTTTGAAGGAGAAAAATACGATTGTTGTGGTTAATTTAACTCTTAAGGGAAAATAACGAGAAAGAAAAAGAAGCCAAAACAAAAATTAAAAAATTTATTGCAGCGAAACAATTTCACTTTCAGATGTCTGCCTAAAGATCTGAAACAGGAATGAGGCCGTTAGTTCTCAATTTATTGAAGAATTTAACTTATTTTAATTTGATAACCGAATGCTTCTTTTAAGTGATCTAATCCTTATATATATACTTGTTGGTGTATCCAGAGCTTTAGCATCCGGGTTGATTCCCGAATTCTAGGCTCCAGATACACAAAATACTAAAGAAAATGGAGTATAAAAAATAAATTAAAACCTCGTGTTTGTTTTTAAAACAAAACTTTTAATATAATTCATGAAAACTATATTTTAGTTGTTTTCCCATTCGCAAAACCGTCGATAAGCCTGAAGAGATTTGCTTCATTGCTTCAGTTGCTGTTTAACAGACAGTATCGAAAGAATCCTTAAATGCAACATACTAATTTGTAAGTCTTAAGTACTTATTAGTCCAAAGGGATTTGAATCCCGAAGGACTATTAGTTTCGTTTTGGCATTTTGCGTCGGACTCATAAATGTCGGTTCACTTTTCAAACTGTTGCCACAAAATGTTAGAGTCCTGCATTATATTTGAAGAAAATAAATAATGAAAAATCTGCAAATGTATGTATATTTCTCGTATTGTGATAAAACAACGGTACATAGTCATCGAATTTGAATAACGTATCCTCCAACGATATGAGAATGTGGAAGACCAAATTTGAAATTTGAAATTTTTTATGATCGATTTCCTAGCTTTTAAAATTTTGACGAATTTTGATTAACAAACTCAAGGATTTCAAAGCGAGCAATGGCAACGTGTGTGCAGAAAAAACTTTTTATCTCCAGCGCGTGAGTCTCTGTATCGGAAATTCTAAAGTATGCTCGTTTTAAACTATTTGCGATATGCTGTTTGCACTGGATGGTTAGTGCTGTTGCACTGGTTCTTATTTTTAAGTGCGAGGAACATGATATTTAATAAAGAAAGGTAACACACAAAATGTTAAAAAACGCCCCTTTGGACGTAATTTAAAATCTGAAACATTTCAGATTTTTTTTTATTTAATTATTTTTATTTAGTAACCTTTTCTGACAATTAGCAACACTTTTATTGATAGGAAAACTCGTAGTAGTATTACAATATTTCAAGCTTTGTTCTGGAGACCGTCTTTTAGAATAAACTGCAAAAGTTCATAAGAACAGAGAAATATTTTTCTGTTAAGTAGGAATTCTTTCTTATTAATATCTTCGTCATCCTAATCCAGTTGGTATTCGTATTTTTGTTTCAAAAGTTTCAATACGTTAAAGAAAGATTTACCAATGTATGCAGCTGTTGAATTTTCATAATGACTTCTTTGAATGCTCAAAATGTTTTCTCATAGCTTAAAACCAGTTTTTTTATTCACATTTTAATTCTGCATTGCAATTTAGAATCCTGTTACTAACCCTGTTACCTACCTCGGCAATCCATATGACTAAGCCGTATAAAATAATGCTTCGCCGGGAAAGTTCCATATTCTCCTACAATGTCGCCGAATTTCAGGAGTAGAAATAACTATACAGGTTGTCTTTTTAAACTTATTTAAAAACTTAACATGAGCTTTCTTGGTTAATTTAAAATATTAACATTACAGCATTATTATAATAGGCAATAAGAGTATTTTCTCTCTCCTTCCAGCATGTCTTCATGGTGTAACGATAGCACACTCCGTGCATATTCCTGATATCCAGGCTTGAGTCCATGTGAGGGCACTTCACATTTTTTACTTATCCTGCTTCAATATAACATAATGACTTCACAAAGAGAAAGACAACAGCTTTCATGACTCTCGACAACAGCTTTCTTGACTCTCGACAAGAGCTTTCATGACTCTCGACAACAGCTTTCATGACTCTCGACAACAGCTTTCTTGACTTTTGACAACAGCTTTCATGAACTCTCGACAACACCTTTCATGACTCTCGACAACAGCTTTCATGACTCTCGACAACAGCTTTCTTGACTTTCGACAACAGCTTTCTTGACTCTCGACAACAGCTTTCATGACTCTCGACAACAGCTTGCATGACTCTCGACAACAGCTTTCATGACTCTCGACAACAGCTTTCTTGACTTTCTCACTCTTCGGCATATCGCAGACAATAGCCTCGTTTCTACTCTTACAAGATGAGTCTCAGATATTCCGCTAGAGGGGGTATTTTCTTTATCCCTTTCATCGGCCCCAAGGTGGATACTGGGGTTCGTTCCCAAGAGAACAGGAAATTCTGTAAGGACAAACACGCATATTGTTATACCCCTCTCATCTTTGGCTACATCACTTTATAAATTAAACAACAAGTGAGTTTTTAAATTTTCGTTTTAATTCTAAAACTTGTGAAGAACTTCAAACAGAAAACTAAATTTAGCCTTTTAACTATGCAACAGAACTCCAATTATCTGAGCTAATCTGGACCGGGGCTAAATCGGGTAAGCAAAACTCGAATAACACGAATTGATACAAGGAAAATTTCAATAATAGAGTCTTACTGTACACACTCTAGGGAATTTGCTAACATTTAAAATCCATGCAGATACAGAGAGATGTAAAATACATGCGCATTCAAATGTACAATTATGTACATAGTAGTAAACGCGACACTAACTATAATCTTGAAAACGCGTACCTGTAATACAAATGAGGTGCTGGACAGCTTACATAACATATCACATATTCTTTTAAAAAATCGTTCTGTTTCATTGTGCTGCCTCGTTTTCTTGCCGCCGTATAGCGTAAACGTCACAGCAACGTAACGCGCTGGTGATGTACCGTCTTGCTATTTAGCATAGAGCAACGGCTTTCAAGCATATTCAAACCAATTGTGCGACTGGTCTTGGTTTGGCCTATTCTCATGTCTTCGGCGTAAAACGTTTACTGTGCGTGACTAAATTTACAATGATTTCATCTGATAGTTCAAAATGTTCATCATTTTGCATTCAACCATTAACATCTTCCTTCGTCGCTGCCTCTGTAACTTGGAGCTGGTTTAAGATAGTTATCATTTTTGTGTTCAGGGTTATTCGGCGAAATGTTTTTCAGCTTGTCAAAATGCTAGATTGTTTCACGTTGTTTCACGATTGCCCCAGTCAGTAAATGACATTTTTCAGATTAACGTGTTTTAGGCTTTCAACAACTGTTTTGTTATTTTCAACATCTCCTAAATATTCAAGAACCTGCGTCGGTAGTTTTAGGTTTTAGGTTTGGTTTAAATCATTGCTAAACCCAAAATCTACAGATTGTCTACCTTTTCGAGCTAGACTACTTTAACGACTCGTTTTTATTGCATTGAGCACAGATAGCACGGAGCCTCGGTTAATCAAAACTCTAATCGGAGTTCTACTGTATATTTGTTTAGCTCTAGATAAAATATTTTGAGTAAAGCTTTCAATACATGCTGTACATTTTTAGTTTTCTGATTGAATTATTACTTACTATGTTATTAGCTCCTTCTGTTTGTGAGCAAGAGAAAAAAGTAGGACCGTGTAAAGGCAACTTCCGTCGTTTCTATTTCAACCGACTGACCAGACAGTGTGAATCATTCTTCTACGGAGGTTGTAGAGGAAATGGCAATAACTTCTTATCCAAGGCTCAATGCGAATCTTCATGTAGTGGTAAGACCACCGCCTTTATTTTCTAGTTTCAGTTACATTCTGCTAAACTTAAAGTTAAATGCTAAATTGAAATCATCTTGTCCTTTGAGCGAGAAGAAAAAAATTCAGAGCTTCGAAAAGCAATTAGACATCGTAGTTATTATCTGGCCTTTATTTTCGTAACCGTAGGTCGAGACATAAACTAATAATTAGAAAACATTTTTAAAAAACTATATTATATTGATTCAAATGGCACAGCAGGCAAGAAGGCAGATTTTTCGGTGTACAAAACTAAAAGTTTCCGTCTGGTCCCACTAAGCAGAAAGACACTGAAGGTGCAGAAAGGCTTAATTCACTATTCTGCTAAGTTTCAAATGTGAACAAATATGTTTACTATGGAATAAAAAATTAGGCTTAGCAGAATTTAAATAACTTTTAAATTGGTGATAATTATATAACTATTTCATGCAGATTAGCTAAAGGCCAAAAAAAAACTTAACTGCAACATACTAACCACATAATTCAATCATTTTTAAACAAAAAAATGCACAATTTACAAGCATATAAGAATAAAAAACCGAGCCCACGGAGCCGAGTAACAGAGTGGGTATATATACTTTTGGTGTGGCCGATAGCAGCCTAAAAGGAAGGTGCACAGCCTGTCTTATATGTAAAATTTCAACGTTCTTCTAAGGCTACTCGTTTCTGAGTTATGCGAGATACATACATACATACGTACGTACGTACGTACGTACAGAAACCATGAGAAAATCTCTTCTGAATCCATTTTAAATCAGTTTTATAATTTGCTTGGGTAAAAAGTATTCTTCATCCTGTCCTTACGTACAGATGTCATGCAAAAAACATCGTTAAATTGCATTCGAAAGCTGTGAAAATGGATATTTTAGTTGAAATATGATATCCGGAATTTTTTTTGAATACAATATTTCATTTACTTCGTACAAAGAAGTAAAAATTACAAATTAAAAACATTAGTAAACCATAAAGTGTGTCTTTGAATGCTATTTTAGGGGTGGAAATCTTCTACAAATGTTTTATTTATTTATTAACCGAGCCCTTCCGCGCAAATTCAAAATGACGCAAGTCTGTGTTTTATTTTATAAGGCGTACATATTTCATTTGATTTTATGTACCTTTTACTTTAAAACGTATTTATAACGCGTACAAAACTTTCCTAAATATGAGTATAGGAACCAGAGGATCTTAGAAAAATACGGATTCCGCAGCTTCTGCGAAACTTATTTCATTAAACTTTAAAATGACAAAACATGAATGCATGAGTCATTTTAAACATTTTCGTAAGTGGAATTATATACACTCATCGCCATAATAATTTGCGCACCAAGAAAGAGTTGTCAGAATGAAACGAAATTTTATATATGTAAGGACTACTTTGATATAAGTAAGTTATTAGAAAATCAAAGAGAAAAAGGTCATTTATTGTAGAAAAAAAGCACACATGAACGGAAAATTTAGTACTCTGTTAAACCACCTGTAGCACGAATGCACGATGCAATACGAGCGAGCATTGTGGCATACAAGTTCCGTACGGTGTCCTGAGACATATCGTTACACAGTTGCTGTAAATGCGCCTTTGCTTCGGCTAATCTCGTCGGCTGTCCAACTCGCCATCCCAAATGATCCCAGATGGACCCGCTTGGTGACGAATCTGGGGATCGAGCAGGCCAGATAAGGATGGTAATGTGCCGAAGGCAGTCTTGTGAGATCCGTGCTGTGTGTGGCCGAGCATTGTCTTGTTGAAAACAGGCTTTTGGGTGCCCTGCCATGAGTGGCAACACATGTGGCTGAAGGATGTCATGGACGTACCGCTGGCCTGCCATTGTGCCATGGATCAATATTAGGCGTGACCGTGTATCGTAAGCAATGGCACCCCTTACCGTCACACCAACTGTGGGAACGGTCTGTCGCTGTAAAGCGATCCAGGATTGAGGCGTTCACCACGAGTGCTCCACACACGAAAGGGATTGTCATCACTGGTCAAATTGAATCTAGATTCGTCGCTGAAGGTGACCTGGTTCCATTCCGTTAAAGTACAATCTTGTTGTGCGCGAAATCACTCGAAACGGAGGCGTCGTCGGGTGGGTGTAGTTGGCAGCACACGTAATGGGCTCCACGATACCAGATGTCCTTCAACGAGGCGCCTTGCGATGGTTCGGGAAGACACAGGGGCCCGTAATGAAGTTGCTACCTGTGTCTGGATAGCGGCTGTACGCGTGCGTGTCGTATGATGTGACGGTCTTCTCGACGACTGGTCTGCCGTGGGCGCCCTGAGACTGGTCGCCGTGTACATGACGTCTCTTCTGTCCATTGGTTCCCACACCTCCTCACAGTAAAATCAGAACGGCCTACCCGACGAGATACTCACCGAGCTGACCACCCAGCTTCCATCACCGCGATGATTCTTTCCCTCTCGAACTCTGACCAGCTGCTGATATTGGCTTCGATGGCGGCGTAACGGCATGTCTATCTCAGCATTTCCCTAGCAAAAGATTAAGTACAGTCAAACAAGCTCTGCTTACCTATTTTAAACTCCAAGAAGAACGAAGATCAATGCCTTCTAGTGGCATTGAGCAATGCGCAATTTCACTGCATTTCTTAATCTTTGAATATCTACCTGATACGTAACTTCATGCCAAGTTTTGTTACGATCGCAAAATTATTTTGCGCAAATTTTTATGGCAATGATTATATTTGCGACTAACGGCTGCGAAAATAAAGGTCGGGTAAAGACTTTAATGACTTTTGTGGACAAGGTGTAGTATTAATTGTATACATCCTATGATTTCTTGATATTTTTTCAAGTCAAAGATTTAAAACTTAAGGAATAATGTCTTGAATTGGCTGTTGAATTCTATCATTTACGAATCAATATTTTAATGTTGAATGATATTTGCAATTCTTGTTTCTTACAGTTTGTCCAGAAAATCAACATTACGATTCATGCGGAAGTGCGTGTCCTTTGACTTGCAAGAATTATAGGAACCCACCTACGCATTGCATTTTCATGTGCAGTCCTGGTTGCCACTGCGATGCCGGACACGTCAGAGACGATGATGAAAGATGCGTAAGACCCGAAAACTGCTCAAACCAAATCAATTGAAAAAAATATCCCCTGAAAATTTATGAGATTTTAAGTTTCTACGAACTTTAAAAATGCTCACACATGGCAAAGTGTAAGAAATGAATGGTAAAGCAAGTTTACAGATGAGGGAATTTAAAATATACTGCGGTTCTATTCTGTTTTATTAAATTCTTGTTTTATAGAGACAGTATTTGTGGCAGGAAAACAAAATTCTACAAGGTCCAAGCAGTGAGACCTGGTTCTACACGCTATTTAGTTTTTGATGCTTTAATCTCTTCTGAAGCACCAAAATGGCAGTGGATGTGTATTATTTGGCAGTGGATATGGCAAAATGTCAGTGGATATGTGAATATAATTAGTGAAATCGTTTCTAAACCTGATTTAATTCAAATTTCTTCTACCGATACTCTCATGTTCCATATAAAGGACTGAAATATTTTTTTAAATAAAGAAGCATTTATTATTCTGTTAATTTATGTTTATTATTTCTTTTTATTTATAAATAAAAAAAATTCCGAAGCCATTGCTAATTCTAAAAAAGTAAATATTTCGTAGTACAGCGGTTCCCAACCTGTGGAACCTACTTATCCCTGGATGTATGCGATGGCGTAGAAGGGAGTACACGATAAAAATTAACAAAAAATGGCATAAAAACGAAAAGTATGTAGGAGCTACTTTTATATTTATACTCTTATACGCCCTCGCTTGGCCCTCGCCCTCGCTTGGTGCATATAAGAGTAGTACCGTATTGTAAACAGTTCGGATAAAAAAAATTTCAAAATTTTTTGTCACTGAATTAAAGGAAAATTAATTGTGTGGATTTCCAGTGTAACTGACGCTGACCAAAATGTCTACGAAATACAATGTAATTTGCAGCAATCAGCCCTACTAGCTCCATTTATGTTGCTCGAATCCTTAATCATGATTTATGGCCATCCCTTTCCGTTTTGTCATAACGAGTCGTGTAAAAGCTAAAAATACTTTTAACATTGAGTTAATCATCAAATGAGTTAAGCAGTCATTACATTTATATTGCCTCCGTAACTTGTCGAACGTAATTCAGTGTGGAGTTTCGTTTTTAATTAATTTTTATTCTTTTAAAGCTCTTCAGTGTAATATTTGTTTAAATAAAAATCTGATGTATACACCACATGACTTCCTTGTACGGAGTATTAACTTATACGCATTTTTCTTCCATTTTGTTTAAACTTATTGGATTGAATTAAATCTACTTCGCCGACAGCGCATAACCCACAATAGAATAAATACATTCTTTAAAATTCATTCTATTTGTTTACCATAGCGACACTCTGGCATTAGGTTCACTTAACAGTATTATATTTTGTTCATATTATAACTCAGAATGCACAAAATTTATGTCATTTAAAGAATTATCTAATCGTTGCCACATGTTCTATTCAAATACTATAGTAAAGTTAGAACGATGTATAAAAAAAATTAAGCAAACAAAACAAAAAAAGAAACAGTTTTTCACCGACGATTAAGTATTTCACATTCAATTAATTCAGTTCTCACTTCGCGACAAGGAACAAATACATAAAAACTCAAAATATCTGTATTAAAAATTACGAAGTAAATCTGAAAACACTTATTTCCTCGAATAAATTCCAGAATGGATTAAACATGATTTAATCCGCAATAATAAAAGGCGTTATCTCTGTCGTTTGGAAGCTTATAATTGGATTGGCAACAAATCCGCTATTTTGGCAAGTTTGAAATGCAAACAAACATGTCTGCCATCGCAAAATTATTAGGCTTAGCTGCACTTAAACAACTTTTAAATTGTTGATAACTCTACAAATATTGCATGCAGATTTACTAAAGGCATAAAAACCTTAACCGGAAGATAACACTCCATAATACGACGACGAGATGTGTGAGGCCGAAGCATAACTCACGTCTCTCTGCTATTTTTATATTTTTCCTAAATTGGATGAGAAGATATGTTCCATTTTCTAAAACGTGCATGATTTAGTGATAAGTATTTTGGATGGAAATTAGTCTGTCGTGATGCGAGACCAAAGGTAAACCTACATCGAATGTCTGAACTGTGTCGTTCCCAAATTGTGTAGACCTGTTTCGTAAACCTCGGGAGAAGCCGACCATGTGCTCAAAGAAATAGAAATGTATGATAAAAGAAGGGTCCTGTCGTTTAGAATACAACCACTTCTCATAAAATAGTGAAATTAGAAATCAGTATTGAGCACTGTACCACCGATGTTCTTAGATTAATAAGTCGGACTCTCTATTTGCAAAATAGACGGTACTCGTGACATGCATGTTTCACGTATCAGTTTTGTGTTTCTAAGATCTTCATGATGATTTTCGTATTATGTGTTATAGATTAATATTCAAGAGAAGTTGTTTTTTGATGGAATAAATGTGTGATTAAATAATTCTACAAGTCTCATGCATGGGGGATATTGGGCAAGTCAACCATTTTTTTATTCCTATTATTAAATTGTCAAAGCAATGTGCTCCACTAATTTTCAGGCTAGCTAATTTTATGCAGACATGATTTATATTTGATACTCCTAGTATCACACCAGATTAGGAAGTCACATCTTCAACACCACAGTTTCTTTTTAAACCTAATGGCCCATCAAGTAAAAGATGGGTTTTAAAGATCCATGGTTCAGGACAAGGCAAGTCATGGCCTCTATTACTGTTCCCCACCCAATAGGCCGATTTAAGTCAAGTTTAAAGAAATTCTGGAATTTTAAAAGGCAGTTGGGTCAATTTTGATGAAATAACTAATAGGGAACTCGGAGAAGATAATTTTGATGATCCACTTCCTCTAGAAAACTTAGTTTGTAACCTAGCAAACGGAATTTTGTTTTGTGCAAAGGAATACATACCACGCGGTAGAGTCAGAGGCTATAAGTGCTTCTGGTCCCCAAAACTGGAGAAACATAAAGAGAAACGGGACAGACTCAGAATAAAAGCTAACCTCACTAAAAGGCAGTCTGATGCTGTCACATGGCGAAAGCAGGCTAGCTTTGTAAAAAAGCTGTATTACAGGCCAAATGTAAATTCTTTGAAGATTTTATTTCACAAATTGATTATATAAATAACAGCTTAAAAGGTTTTAAGTTTATTTCTGATATCCAAAATCGCAAACCCTCGTGTAGAAAGAACCCGATTTCTCCTGGAAATAAATTGCTATCTTCAGATAAGGCCATTGTAAACGCCTTTGGAGAGTCATATTCCCATTTCCAGCGAAAGGGAAAATATGCAAAAGAAAAGTCAAGGAAGATTAATGTTGATTGGAAAAAGTTAATCAAAATACAGAATGCAGGGGAGGAACCTACGTCGGAGGCTATCTTTGATGCTCCATTTAGTGCAAAGATCTTGAACTTGCACTTACACGTCTTGAAATGAAGAAATCTCCTGATGTGGATTATATCCATACAGAGTGCCTTATCAATTTGAGGTGTGAGGCAAGAAAAACAGTATTGAATGTTTTTTTAAATAAGTATGGGAATCAGTTCAGATTCCGACACATTGGAGAAAAGCTATTATTATTCCAGTTCTAAGGAAAAATAAGAGCCCCGGAAAGCTAAAAAGCTATAGGCCCATTTTGCTTACGAGTAATGCTTGCGAAAACTATGGAAAGACTTGAGGTAAACAGTTTGAAGTGATATCTTGAGAAATATAGTATTTTAGCTCTAGAACAGGTTGGTTTCCGAAGGAGTAGGTTAACGTGTGATCAGTTAACAGAACTCAGCCAGTTTATGAAGGATGCTTTGGTTGTCAGAAACATTTTGACAGCTGTTTATATTTATTTTCAAGGAGCTTTTGATTCTGTCTGGAGGGAAAAGTTCTACCAGAAGCTCCTGAGTATTGATATTTCATCAAATTATTTAATTGGATTAGGCTTTTCACAAGCCAGAAGACATGCAGGGAAAAGTTTGAAGATTCCTTCTCCAAATGTTTAAATTTACAAACTGAGCTTCCCCATGGAGCAGTTAGTAGCTTCACCTCGTTTAATATATATATATAATCATAGATATATTTTCTTCTCTTAAATCAACAGTTGGTATTAATTGTCTATTATTTGCTGATGATTTGGTAATTTGGACCGAGGCACCAAAACATGGTGCAAGAAACCTTATTGGAAGTCGATTAAATAAGGCCCTGCAGGTGCTCTCGAGTTGGTGTGAAGAAAATAATATGACTGTAAATTTGGAAAAAACAGCTTCACGGTCTTTTTCTCTAACCCATGAAATTTTTAGCCCAGAGTTAAAGTATCAAGATACTTTGATTATCAATACGGACAACTTTACTTATCTGGGAGTGACTTTTGATAATAAATTAAACTGGAAGCTTCGTGTTAAGCAGCTTACCGAATAGACTTAGTATTCTTACGCGTTTAGCAGGATGAAACTGGGAGAGGAGGAGCTCTCGGTCCACTCTTAACATTACATTTAATACTTTTATCCTGCCTTTAATGGCGTGTTCTTGTGAAGCTTTTATCACAGCCCTACAATCCGGGGTTAATAAACTTGAAGTGATGCAAAACCAAGCTCCTCGCTTGATTACAGGAGCTGTGAAGTCTACACCTATCGATGCGATGTTATTGTTGACAGGAAATAAACCTTACTGGATATTATGAAAATGAGGGCCTTGGTTCTCTATCAAAAACTTCTACGGATGGAGTATTCCTACTGGAAGAACTAAGTAGTCGATCTGAAGAAATAAAAAATCCAATATGGATTTATTCAAAAAGCCCTGGACATTAAAAAAGATCTTGAGATTCCAGGTAATGTACAACTACTCTAGACAACCAGAAACCATTTTAAGGAGATTAATGTCCAAGTAAATCTAGACCTTGTGAAAATGAACCATAGAAAGGGAGATGTTACACCAAGTGTTTTGAAATGTTCTCGCTTTGGCGATAATTTCGGCTAGATATCCACCTACTTAGAGGCTGCACATTTTCACTGATGGTTTTCAGTTTCACTGTCTATCATTTTAAAGTTTGGGCTGGTGTGTTTTCGAATCTTTTTTCTTTTTACGCCTCTGCAGGATACATTGGTTCCTCTTTTAATAGTGGAGTAGTAGCCATATGTATAGCCCTAAATCAATTATTAGCTATCCTTTACAAGTTGGGGGGGTAAAAGTTGTAATTGTTTCTGATTCTCACGTAGCCATTCAATCAATTAGCTCTGTTGAACACCTATTAAGACCTGAAATTTTGCGATGTCAAGAATTCCTGAGAACTCTCACTTTAAAGAGGAAACAAATCCCTCTCCAGGGGGTGCTTGGACACTGTGGCGTTTGGGGCAATGAACAAGCGGACTTCCTTGCAAAAAGAGGTGCCATCTTACTGCAGCATCCTAATACAGCTATTTCTTGTTGGAGGATTTAACTGTTTTTAAAACAATTATTTATATCCGATATCTTACGAGATCTTAAAAGTCGTATAGCCTTAAAACGTTGAATTTTAAGTCCTTCTCATATTCCCGATAGTCCAAGACGCAAAGTAAGTTTGTCTACAGGACATGATTTTCTTGCCACCCATCTGCACCGCATAGGCACTTCAAGCGATCTTATTTGCCCACTTTGTTATTTTGGAGAAGAAATACATAGGAACTACATGCTCCGATGTGGGGTTCTTCGTGGTCTTATAGAAGAATCGAGATACTGGGAGGCAAAAACGCTCTTTACGCAATGACGTCGGTCTTTGTGTTCTTAACTCTATTGTTTGTAACCTCTGCGTTTATAAGATTATAGTTCCTTGTACCTTTTTGCCTATCCATTGGAAATAAGAAAAGAAAAAATATTTAAGTCGAATATGCAACAATAGTATAATAGTATTATTTTAACACACAGCTTTAAGTGTATTGATTCTTCTTCCTCTCTCATGTACTACTGATTGTCACTCAATAAGCAATAAGAAAAGAACAGACTACCGATATATATTTCACTCATTGCTTTTGATGTAGAGTAAAAGATACAAATGCGTCTTGTTTCATAAAATTGAATCATTCTTAAGGATATCTATAACAACACAATAACGAATACACATTAAAAAGTATGAAAATTTTTATTCTGCTATTTTACATTAATTTCTGCGCACCCTGGATTCTTTTATGCTGGAAAAGAAAAAAAATAATTAAGAAACGTATAAATAAATTAAGTATCACAGTTATTTATATGTAACTTCGAGTCTTCTCTAGAATTCGTTGAAAACCTTTATTGACTTTAGCATTTATTTGAGAGATAATGTTTTAATATTTGTACTACTTTCTTTTCTTTAGCATTTTTTCAAAGCTAATATGTTTTACAAAAATCGTACAAATATTGCAGGTGTTTAACTTTTTTTTTTTAATTTCGCGACTGAAAGCTCTTACAAATGCCTCGTTGCCTTTGGCGATATTAGAAAATTGCGCATTCCTGACTGGGCAATTAAGTCTGCCAATGTGAACAATTCAGTGAGTGGACGTTAAATGTCAAAGATCGAGGAGGCAAACGAAAGAGGTTGCAACAAATTACTGACCATTAATCGTCAATAATTTGTCACTACTTCATTCAGTCGTCTCCTGGAGTTTCGACATTTGGAATATATATATATTCGGCTAAGACCCTGTTCTAGATATGTGCATCTAGGCATTGCATTACAAGCAGTTGCAACAATGAGGCTTTTCGGCTAGTAGGTGCCGAAAAGCCCAACAGTGGGACTAGCCCCAACAGTGGGGACCCCCAGTGGGTCCTCACTGTTCTGGAATAGAAAGAAAGAATCCCAGGAGGCTGCTGCAAGGAGCCACGAATTAGTTGAATAAGAGAGTAGCCCATTTGTATACAGAGGTCTATACTGAGGTGCGGTTGAGTTTGTAATCCAATGATTTTACTTTCGTTACAACTAGTGGGTCCGCGAATCCATTTTTACTGGCATTTTAATATAAACGACTTACCAGGATAAACTGAAGTCTTGTGGATTCTTCTCAATGAGAGTAAAGTGGTGAATCCATACCTAATTTACATTTTCATACACATTTCAGCTTAAAGGACTTGTCATATATTACAGCACCACTGGTGTTATTTAATCTCGATCCTCATATTTTGACCCCTATCACGTTTGAAAAAAAAAAGGATTTTACTACTAAATGTTATCCATCTATATAATTTTAAGAAAATAATATAGAATATATAATATATATATATATATATATGTCTGCAATTAACCCCACTGTCGAGAAAATTCTAAAGATAGACTGTTTTTAAATATTTTTAATATTTTTACTGTTAAATTTTGCTTGGCGTAAGGGAGAAGAAAATGTTGTTTAATAAATACACCTTAAAAAAACGTTCTGTAAGGACTAAAAGTCTGAATATTTATATGATGAACTGAAGAAAGACTGAAAAAAAATTAATAGCAACACTTAACACTACATCGGAATTTCTAAATATATGATGCTTTTGAACATTTTATGATTTTTCTGTTAAATTTTGTGCTGAAATTATGTTTAATTCATTAAAATTAAATTATGTTTAATCATGAAGTTAAAAAGACAAAAAAAAGGTCATCTGTTACGAAAACTGAACACTGTTATGATGAACTAAGAAAAGACTAAAATATATAGAAATGTGTATGTCAACGCTTAACACTGTATCGGAATCCTACACATATGCATTCTAAACATTTAAGAATACTGTAATTTAACTTCAGAGTATTATGTAGCGTCAATGAGAACAAAAAGAAGTTAAGTAATAAAGTGAAGGAAACAAAGAAAAAGGATGTTACATGGAGTGAATGTAAGAGCGGATTGTTAACATGGAAGCTTAGCGAGAGTTTAAAATCCTTATCAAACTTTTTGTTTCATCTGACTTCTGAGTCAGATGAAACAAAAAGTTCGATAAGGTTTATCTTCTGAGAAATCACTTCTGAGAAAATCATTCTGAGTTTTAGCACACTCCATAATTTTCTAAAGCATTGTTAAATGACATTTTATTATATTTATTACAGTGTAACGACTTAACTAGTGAAAGGAAAGAAAAGAAAAGCTCTTAAAATTTGGCGTTCAGGGAGGTCAGTCATGAAAGCAGGCTAATAAAAATCATGTGATAGTTCGGATCTGGAACAAAGGATGAAGAATCATAAATTCCTTTCCTTTTACGTTTATACAAGTCATCCCAAATGGTACATACAGTGTTTAGTACCGCTGCATATCATATCGTTGGACATGGATTCAAATTAGAAGACATGTAAGAATATAGTGCCTTTACCGTATGAAAGCACTTGTAAGGTTCATCCTAAGTTTTCAACAGTTATCTTTAATTAAAGCTACTTTATCTTTCCTACTTTCAGCTTACAGTTCCCCACCAGAATGTGTTTTTGGAATCGCGGTTAATGAAAATAAAGGGTGTCCGCCGATAACATCGCGGCAAAAACATCGTGGACGAAAACGTCGCGGAGAAAACAACGCAAGGTGAAAACATCGTGCTACAAAACATCGTGGGAGAAAACATCGCAAAGAGAAAACATCGCAGTTCTAAAACATCGTGGTACAAAACATCGTCGTCGAAAATAAAGCAGTTCAAAAACATCGCAGTTTAAAAACATCGTCGTCGAAAATATCGTGGTAAAAAATAAAGTATCTACAATCATCGCATGACGATAACATCGCAGACATGCTTTTTTCAGGTTTTAATAATTGTAAATGGATATTCCCATAATGATTTGTGAGCGCAAGGTGTAAAGAAGGATAAATTTTACTTTCACATTTTTTTAACTAATAAATTTTTGCTGGAAACGTAAGAAGGAAACTTAAGCATAGAAAATTAAATGTAACTTTTAGATTTATACTTTTCATGAAAAATTACCAGTAAAAACTTTATAAAATGATTTATTAATGGCCTTTGTTAGTTAACTATGTCGGTTTAAAATTCTATAAGTGCTATAAGTTGCATTAATTTTTTATGCTTAATTTTTCCTTTTTATTTCTCAGCAAAAATTTATTAATTAATTAAAAATATGCAAGTAAAAATTATCCTTCTTTCCATCTTGCGCTCACAAATCATTATGGGAATATCCATTTACACTTATTAAAGCATGTCTGAAAAAAGCATGTCTGCGATGTTATCGTCATGCGATGATTTGTAGATACTTTATTTTTTACCACGATATTTTCGACGACGATGTTTTTAAACTGCGATGTTTTTGAACCGCTTTATTTTCGACGACGATGTTTTGTACCACGATGTTTTAGAACTGCGATGTTTTCTCTTTGCGATGTTTTCTCCCACGATGTTTTGTAGCACGACGTTTTCGCCTTGCGTTGTTTTCTCCGCGACATTTTCGGCTGTAACCAAATAAGGAAGAGCGGTATTTAAGCCGAAGTTCCACTGACTTCATTAGAGAGCCAATGATTCTTACTAGCGCGCGTTTGCCTTGTGGCTACACTCTCTTTACGTTCAGCCGTATTTCAGGCCCTTGATTGCTTCGCCAGTTTAGTTGATATTTAGGGACCGACTACTTAGAATTCTGATAGCTTCGGCTATATCTTTTGTGTAGTTTTATTTCTCAGTACTCTTGAGTTCAAGAACAAGTGGAGGCTTTTCTGTACGCCCTGAGAAAGGAGCCGACTGTTGAATTGTTATTTTGAGAAATAAAGGGTAATTAACCCTTCTTGAGTTTACGTTTCTCTTCCTGAACTAAAACGAATTATTCGCTTATCAGATCATAAGGTTCCTGCACACTTAACTGTTATATATTAAGGTTGGAACGACACACACTTAAAGTCCTCTTGAAGGTGTTTTTGTGGTAGACGAAGAGGTGTGAGCCACCCTGGAGGCCGTCCTCCAAGGAATTCTATCTCAAAATTAGGAGGGAAATGTTCAAAACTATAAACAGATTTTTTAAGGTTTTGGGGCAATAAAGTATTTTTGTGGGCAATAGTGTATGTGTTTGTGTATATATATATATACTAGAAAGCCCGTCGGTCATACGAAATGACCACTGTTCTAGATATTCTAAATTGTAATTAAAATGATTTGTGCAAAGGTGTCTGCTAATTCAAAGTGAATTACCCACGGCAGGTGGCGAGGACGCTCCTTTGCTTACTGCCCATGGGGGTTCACCCTTCTACTTGCTTAATTGCTTAAAGTAGAGTGCAAAGAGAGGAAACCACTGGCGGTACATTTCGTAAGAGCCACCGCTAGCTCAATAAATAAAGGTGATTTAAATAATAAAATGTTAATTCACGTGTCAAAGATCTCTTTGTACAAAACATTTCTTGCGTAGATCTTTCTATCATTTTTAATCTCGCCTTGCTCAGGACAATCCAGTATTTTTAATTTTACATTTTTTACATTTTTTCACGAACTCTTGAACAGGCAACATAAAGTTGACCGTGTCCAAATGCAGGCTGAGGTAAAAAAATGCCAACACGCTTAAGCGTTTGGTCCTGAGACTTATGGATGGTCATAGCAAAAGCAAGTTTTACAGGAAATTGTCTACGTCTCAATTGAAACGGCAACTCTGTGTGGTGGCAACTTCACCCCCATTGTCTAGTACAGTTACGCAAGCAACCAATAAGCTATCGGCGACAAACAGACACTTAAGCTGCATATAATAAAGATATTAATTTATTTCATTTTATTTTTTTTTTCATCGTTGCGGTTGCATATTTCCGAATTTCTAACTCGTATTATATATAGATGTTAAATTTATTTATTTAATTTAAAGGTAATGTGCTCTTGTATTTTTAATTTTTCCGGCTTAGCTTTCTCATAATATTCGCCACGCACTGCACTGCACGGGGAATAAAACAATTTACAGTTACGTAAGCAACGAATAAACTATCGGCGAAGAACACTTAAGCCGCATATATATAAGAAATATGTGTGTATGTATATGTATGTATATGTCTATATGTACAGCTACCATTCAGTTACCTTTGCATACAGCTTCACAGTCTTCCTTGTCCAAGAAGTTGTTGCTATTTCCCTGACAGCCACCGTAGATGAAAGGCTCGCATTCTCCCGTCTGCTTGTTGTAATAAAATCTTCGGAAAGCGGCCTTGCAGGGTCCTGTCTCTTTTTCTTGATCGCAGGCTGACATCGAGGCTAAAGCTTGGAACAGATGATGTTTAATTAGAACAGATAGTATTCGGGAAAAAGCAACAGTTTTAAAGTGTACTGCACGTTAAACTGTAGAGAGATTTTTGATGCTGAGAGACGTGAAAAATAAGCTCTGCCCTAGCTGGGACTCGAGCCTCAGACCTATGGCCGCCGCCGAGTGTGCTGACCATTACACCACGAAGGTATGGTAAGAAGGCGGGAGAACTAATTCATATACTTCCCCTTTTAAAGGGCGACTGGTGATTACGGGACCCAATCACCAAATCCTGGTGGTGGAGAATCATCATCCACCACCTTTCTAGTTCGGGCGCCACTGTAGAGACATTAGGATTTCTGATGCTTAGAGATGTGAAAATGATCAGTGCCCTCGCCGGAAATCGAAGCTCAGATCTCTCGAATACGCGCCGAGTGTGCCGGCCATTACACCACGAAGGCGTGCTAAGAAGACGGGAGAAATACCTTATAAAAGTACTCTACTCTTCTAAAAAAACACTCTGTTCAAACGATTGTTTTTAATGAAAAAAAAATAATAATTCGCGTAAAGTAAACTTCAAATACTTCAGGAAAGTACCTCTCTGCAGTTTAATGATAAATTCAGTTATATTGACAGTTATTTGAGCATAATAATTAGCACGGGAAAGCAAAATTTAAGTTTTAATGTAACTGATTCCACCTTATTATTGTTACAGCGGTGAACGTAATGGAACTTATAGTGCTTCAAGTGAAAGTAGAAAGTAGTCAGCTGGTGACGAGAAGATAAATTTTTGCATACCTCAAGGAAGGGAGTGGAGATGGCGTCATTAACGATATTACTTCGCAAGAAGACTTCGGAACTTGCTACTAATTCCAAATTGAAGGGCAAATTATTGCAAGTAATAACACTGGCATCCGAAAGATGAAATATGTGACTTTTATCCCAAAAATAAAGAAGCTTCCAGTTCATTTTGTTTAACATATCAGACGTATTCATTTACTTTGAATTTTAAAGGCTTGTGGGTTTGGTCCTCTGTACGAAAATTCGCAGCTAAAAGGAATTTCATAAATGTTCATTAATTTAATTGTAAAGATCCCTCTTTCCCTACAGCGTGCTTGCACGGTGTAATTGGAAGCAAGTTCGGCTAGCACTTGGGAAATCCGGAATTCACGTCTCTACGAGAGCACAGCTTATTTTTCATGTTTTGCTCTGAAATAAATTTAATGACTTCACAGTTTTGCACACATTTTTAAATTAAGGTTTTATTACTTACCACCGCATTTGTTGTAGCATTCTTCTTCTGTGACGAAATTGTTTCGGTTTCCTCCACATCCACCATAGATGAAGGTCTTGCACATACCGGCCTTCTGATCATAGTAATAACGACGTATGTAAGCACGACATACTCCAGTCTCAGGGGCTTTGTCGCAGTCTGGACGGTCCAGAGCTAGTCCCAGAACTAAATAAGATAAGATTTGCACAGTTATATTTAATCCAAAAAAATTTACTTTTTTTAGCCTGATGTAGTACGTTAAGTATTAAGACGTAACTATAATTTCGAAAAAAAAAATTAAAAATATTTTTTTAATATTTGAATGAATTCAGATTTTAACGGGTCCAAACGGGTTTGTTAAGCTTTTTTAAACTCTCGCTGGGCTCGCAGTCTCCCAGTCTACTTTTACATTCACTCCTGCTAACCCATTTTCTTTTTTTGCCATTTTAGCTTTATTATTAAGCATCATTTTGGGGCTAATAATTCTTATAAGTGAGTATTATTTCTCAGTTCTTTCTCCCTCAAAGTTTTAATATTAAATTGCAGAGCAAAGAATGCAGTCAAGTTCTACAGGAAACAGTATCACAAAGCAGTTAAAACGTTTCATTTGCTTTTGCAATTCATGAATAGTTAACGACATAGTTTCGCAAAATTTCACGAGCAAATTTAGAAGTGAGATAGAAAATCCTGATATGAAATATGCTTACTAGAGATGTGCAAATCGCTTACGAATTGATTCAAAGAGCCGATTCCGTTTACTGAGGAAACGAAAGCTGATTTTTTAAAAAAGAGAGGTAGATCTTTCACTCACCGATAGCTTTTATAGGAAGTGGCCATTCAAGTTCGATTCCCATTTTAAGGAAGAAAGAATGTTTATGTTTCCATACTAAAAGTGAGCATAAATTTTGTCATTTCCCAACTTCAAAAAGTTGGGAAATGACAAAATTTAACTTTTAATTTAATGGCAACTTTTAATTTATTAATTTTTATTTATTTTTTTTTAATTTATTTATTAATTTTTAATTTTAATTTTATTATTATTAATTTTTTAATTTATTTATTAATTTTTAATTATTAATTTAATGGCAACTTTTAATTTAGAATTTTATACGTCCATATAGAAATGAGTTTTAAGGGAAAATACAAGTTCAAAGAAGCTAGTTTAGAAAATTAGAGATTTGATTGAGTCGCCTTATCCCACGATTCTCTCGATTCTTTCCGCTTTTCGGTCCACCTTAGTCACCATTCTTGATTCATTCTCCCTTTAAGATCTTATTCATCAAGGCTATTGTGAGCAAGCGATGAGTCATAAAATAGAAACAGTGAGTAGAGTAGTTCTGATCTGATCCAATAAATATGGTTTTGCCCACTTCTAATTTGACATACGAAAGGAGGACAAGGAACGGGTAGGCGGCGATGTACAACATCATCGCTGCAATTCAAACCTAAGGTTTCTTCACTGAAGTTTACTACGTTGTGCAGTAAATGTACATTTTTAAGGAACGCTGAGTTGACAAACATGGAGTTGATGTTAATGGAAGAGCCGTTGTAAGAATATACCGTAAAATGTACCTAACCAGATACATAATACATCGTGGATGTCAGGCAAGCCTCACTGCAAGGTTAGTTTAAAATATATGAATACCATAAAGCACATGACTGCTATCTGCCTAAGGGAAAGCATATTTTAATGGAGGACTTCCTAAGGGAAACTAGCTTTTTTCACCTTATATCGGGATAACTTCCAAAACTAACTCTGCACCCGCTCCGTTTGCATAGGTCAGAACCCGAGTGGAACTCCCAGTATTCAGCGGTCATAACCGCTCGGCGATTGGTGAGCGACCGCATAAGTGTGAATGTGGAACCTTTGAACACTTCCTATGAATCGTAGCCCCTGTATCTGCTAGCTATTGTTCCAAATGGCGTCTCGGTGCCGTGCTGTAAGGATATTCTGTAAATGGTAGTCCAGATGGGCTCTGCTACTCTATCCCATTCTGGTGGCTCTTGGTGATCGTGGGGGGTTTGGCAAGGGGAAAACTAGCACCTTTTAGAAATTAGAGGAGATACAGCGGCGTGCAGTTCATCTTGCTTTAAATTTCTGATTCTAAAAGAAATCGGTGATTCAGTGCAATGCAAATAATAATAAAAAAAATAAATAAAGATACATTACGCTCAAAGGGGCTTTTTTTAACGCTTTGTGTGTTACCTTTATTTATTAAATATCATGTTCTTCGCACTTAAGCCATAAAATTCAATTCAACGACAATACCGCAAGAGAATTTTAAAAGGAACATATCTTTAGATGTTCCAATACACAGTCTCGCGCGCTGGAGATAATTTTTCCCCTGTACGTAGTGTTGTCATTGCTCGCTTTGAAATTGTTAGGTTCTTCAATCAAAATTTCGTTAAAGTGTTACAAATTATGAAATCGATCATAAAACAAATTCCAAATTAGGGTGTCCAGATGCCCCTATTCGGTGGAAGATTACGTTATTCAAAATTACCGTTGGCTCCAGGTACCGTTGTTTTATCACAATGCGAGAAACATACACACGTTTATGCAGATTCGTCATTATTTAATTTCTTTAAATATAACACAGGGGAATAATATTCGGTGGCAAGAATTTGAAAAGTGAACCGACATTTATTATGAATCAACGGAAAATGCCAAAAAGAAATTAATAGCTCTTCCGAGGGCTAATTAAATACAGATAATAATATAAATAAGGATTTTATTATTCGATTGAGTTAATAAAAAATAATTCTTTTTTTTTTTTTTTTTTTTTTTTTTTTTTAGTCCAAAGGGATTTCAGTCCCGAAGGACTATTGCTTTCGTTTTGGCATTTTGCATCGGACTCATAAACGTCGGTTCACTTTTCAAACTGTTGCCACAAAATGTTAGAGTCCTGCATTATATTTGAAGAAATTAAATAATGAAAAATCTGCATAAATGATTGTCTATTTCTCGCATTGTGATAAAAGAATGGTACATAGAGACATCGAATTTTGAATGACGAAATCCTACTGCGAATATGGGCATCTGAAATCCCAAATTTGGAATTTGTTTTATTATAGATTTTATATTTTGTAAAACTTTAACGAATTTTTGATTTACAAACTCAATGCTTTAAAAGCGAGAAATGGCAACGTTATATAGAAAAAAAAATACTTTTAATCTCCAGCTCGCGAGACTGTGTATATCGAAAATTCTAAAGATATGCTTAATTAACATTATTTTGCGATATTGCTCTTGAAACTGAATTTTATGGTTTAAGTGCAAAGAACATGATATTTAATAAATAAAGGTAACCACTCGAAACGTTAAAAAACGCCCCTTTGGACGTAATTTAAAATCTAAAAACATTTCAGATTTTTTTTTTTTTTTTTTTTTTTTTTTTGCTTGCTTCAAATTTATAGGCATGCGCCACAAGCATCGCATGTCCTAAGACGACTCCTTACATACTTCATTCATAGAAAGTTGCATATACAAATGAATTACTATACGGAAGAATTAGCTTAAATTTCAGTTACAGTTTTTGTAAAATTTACAACGCTTTATTCTTTAAAAGTACTTTAAGGGACGCTTTTTAAAATGCCAAAATTCATAATGTAAAAAATGTTTTCTAAAAATAATGTTAAAATGGAAATATTCATGCAGTTTACCTCCTCCGGCGCCGCAAGTTCGCTCACATTCCCGCAATGTCTTGAAGTTGTTTTCGTTTCCTCTGCAGCCACCGTAGACAAACTTCTTGCACTGTCTTGATTCACTATCAAAGTAATATCTGTGGAACAAAGCTCGGCAAGGCCCAGTGACGGCTGGTAATTCGCACACACCAGCAGATTTGGTTTGCGCCAAGGTGACATCTATAAAATACAATAAATAAAGAAATCTGTAACCTTGTCTTAAAACCTGTTTAATTACTTCCTTGTGCGAAGTAAAAAGGAAGTATTGTAATCGCGAAAAGTTTCAGGCAGCATATTTCAAAGAAAATATCCATTTTGACCGATATCGAATGCAATTTAACGATGTTTTTGCGTGATATCTGTACGGAAGGACAGAACAAAAGACTCGTTTCCTCCAAAAAAATTATAAAACTGCATTAAAATTAATTCTGAAAAGAATTTTTCGTGGCGTCTGTACGAACGTATGTACGTACGTACGTATCTCGCATAGCTCCAAAACGAGTAGCCTCAGAACGTTGAAATTTTGTATATAGGACTGCTATAACATGTAGATGTGCACCACGTATTTTGGTTGCAATCGGCCGCACCAAACGTATATAAATATATTTATATATATATCCACTCTGTTACCCGGCTCGGTGATCTCAGTTTCTTTACTCTTATATGTTTGTAAATTTTACATTTTTTGCTTTAAAAATGATTGCATTATGTTGTTTTTATCTTCCGGTTAAGGTTTTTATGCCTTTAGTAAATCTGTGTGCAATATTTTTAGAATTATTAACAATTTTAAAGTTGTCTAAGTGCCGCTAAGCCTTTTTTTATGGCGGCCATTGATGTTTACATTTGAAACAGGAGACTAGTGGATTGGTTGCCAATCTAGAGAAACTTAGCTTCGCAACAACAAAGATAACGCATTCTTTTATTATTGCCAATTAAATCATGCTTAATTCTTTCTGGAATTTTTTGGAGGAAATAAGTGTTTCAGATTTACTTCGTAATTTTTAATATAGATATTTCGAGTTTTTATGTATTTTTGCCTACTCGGGAAGTGAGAACTGAATTAATTGAATGAGAAATACTCAATCGTCTGTGAAAAACCGTTTCTTTTTTGTTTTGTTTGCGTAATTTCTTTTATACATAATTCTACCTTTATTATAGTATTTGAATAGACATGTGGCAACGATTAGATAATTCTATTCTTTAAATGATATAAATTTTGTGCATTATAGTTATAATATGAACGAAATATATAAGTTAACTGTTATATAATTATTAATACTGTTAAGTGAATCTAGCCCCAGAGTGTCGCTATGGGAAACAAATGCTAGAGTGAATTTTAAAGAATGCATTTATTCTATTGTGTTTTATGCGCTGTCGGCGAAGTATATTTAATTCAATCCAATAAGTTTAAATGAAATGAAAGAAAAATGCGTATAATTTAATATTCCGTACGAGGAAGTCATGTGGTGTACACATCAGATTTTTTTATATTGCTATTCCGCTTGCTGAGCTACTTCGAATAAAACTGACCGAAATAGACGTAATGAACTCGAGGACGGCGAGTTGAAATTTTAATAATTACTGAAGTTTAATCTGTGTTTACCGATTCCAGCCCTGTTTCGCCTTATACCGAATAAAAGATTAGATAAATTGCTGGAGAAACTGTAAGGTTTGATCTTTCTAGAACGAATCAAATTATCGACCTAGTCTTTAACAAACAGCAGAATGATTGCTTCTGTCCAGGAATATTCAGACAGAAAATGGACAAAATGAAATACCGTACAAAAGTGCGATTGCTTGCCCATTGTCCAGTAATAATATAGAAATTTTTAAAGTGTTATTATTATTTCGATTGATAATATTGAAATTTTATAAATTCATATGAAATATCCACACGAAACTACACAAATTTACATGAATATTTTGCCACATGCCAAATACATAGGTCTGAATATATTGTTAGATGAGATCATATATGGAAGGATTTAAAAACCTTTGATTTCTCTTGTAGGATCTATAAAATTGAGCAACATAGCTTACATGGTCACATTTGCTATCTACTTAAATTTATTAATAGCAATTATTTATCCAGGAACATCGATTGGCTTTGGTAGCAAAATTGGCAGCGTGACTGGCTCAAGCAACCTCATGCGAAGAAAAGACTCACAAATTTTAGTAATTTAAATGCGATTTGCATAATGTCTTCATTACCACTAATTTCACAGTACGGTTCGGATGGTAGAATATAATTGAAATCGAGAAAATATTTAAATCTGAGAAACTATCTTAAATAAAAGGGAGAAATTCACTTCAGTTTCTTAATTTTATTTAAATAACACTTCTTTCTATCTCAATTTGAATAAACACTCGCTATCTCATTTACATTCTGGCATGAAAAGCGTGGGTGAAAGGTGAGTGATAGGAAAGCCATTCAACTTAACTATTAGTTAAAAATAAATCGATAAACCTCACAAATGTTTTATATGGTGGCACATATACAGAAGCTTCTTTACTTATTTCAAATAACCATCGTTTTATTTTAAGAAATTAAGAGGATACGTAAACATATTCTAAAAATAAATTAACTTTTACAAAATTAAAAGTTAACAGGCGTCTGACTATATAGTATTAATTTAAAGCACCTAAATATTTACTATTATTATTCTTTTTAAAATAATTGCGTTGTTTTATAGTATTTTGGTTTTTACGTATTTCTGTAATGTTATAATATTTTATTAGTCCAAAGGGATTTGAATCCCGAAGGACTATTAGTTTCGTTTTGGCATTTTGCGTCGGACTCGGTTCACTTTTCAAACTGTTGCCACAAAATGTTAGAGTCCTGCATTATATTTGAAGAAATTAAATAATGAAAAATCTGCATAAATGTATGTATATTTCTCGTATTGTGATAAAACAACGGTACATAGAGTCATCGAATTTTGAATAACGTAATCCTCCAACGAATATGAGCATGTGGAAGACCAAATTTGAAATTTGAAATTTGTTTTATGATCGATTTCCTATTTTTAAAACTTTGACGAATTTTTGATTAACAAACTCAAGGATTTCAAAGCGAGCAATGGCAACGTTGTGCAGAAAAAACATTTTTATCTCCAGCGCGTGAGTCTCTGTATCGGAAATTCTAAAGATATGCTCGTTTTAAAACTATTTTGCGATATTGCTGTTGCACTGGATCTTATGGTTTAAGTGCGAGGAACATGATATTTAATAAAGAAAGGTAACATACAAAATGTTAAAAAACGCCCCTTTGGACGTAATTTAAAATCTGAAACATTTCAGATTTTTTTTTTTTTGCGTATTTACTTAGCACATTTTATGTAGTAATATTAATGTGCATTTTTGTTTGGTTGGCTTTGTGCTTCCTTATCGTGTTTGCAAGTATTTATTTCGTTTATTAATTTTGTATTTATTATTGTTTTGAACTATTAGCTTGCGCCAGTAATCTTCTTTCTGCAATAAACAAACCTTTTTTTTAAAAAAAAAGTTTTTTGAGACAAGGCCCATTTAATCCGCAACTTGGTTAGACGTGAGTCGATTGTAATAATTAATGTGTGGATGTATACTAGTAAGAGATTGATTAAACACACCTTTGCATTTCTCCAAGCATTCCTCTTCTGTAGCGTATCTGTTGCCATTGCCTTGACATCCTCCATAAATGAATTTTTGACATGTTCCTGTTTCCTTGTCATAATACCAACTAGGTACATATGCCAAACACATTCCAGGATCGGGTTTATCGTGACAGTTCTGCACAAGAGCTGAAACGTGAAACAAAAATATAAAACAAATTAAAAACATAAAACAAATTAAAATTCTCGTTTCCGCTGAAATTAAACAAACAAAAACGTCTCTGATTCAATAACACAACAACAAAAACAGAAATGTTTAATTCAAGAACTCGTGATGAAATTCGTTTTATAGAATCCTGAAGCAAGATATTGCAAAACCTAGCTTAGTCCGGCTTACATAGATCATTCCAGATTCCACAGTGGTGCAGTATGAAAAATGTAAAGCAAACTAAGTAATATTTCAGAAAAATAAGAATAAATCCTAAAACTTTAGTATACAAAATTATTCTTTCATACACCAGCCGTTTGCACGACCAGCTGAGCAAAAGAGAAAAATATGTGATTTTAAAGAGGTCAGTGTCGTTTCACGGGTTTAGCTAGTAATTAGCAACAATTAGCCTTTTTTTCCAGCGATACGAACGTTTTTAATGCATGGTATATGGTTTCTACCGAGTAAACTAATAATTTCGTAATAATTCTGGTTTGAAGTTAATCATATTCTTTGTTGTAATTTGCTTTAAAATTCTTTAATTTAACAGAAAATGTTATATTTTCCTGATTTTTATTCTGAAATAAAATTACAGAAATTTCAGAATAGAGACTAAGCATTCCTAGATTTCTATAGACGTCATACAAAGGTAAATCAAACAGTTACGCACAATCTATTGTTAGTTGCAAACGGGAACTGAAAATTTACAAATAGAATCCCTGGCTCTTCCGTCTCTTGAAAATGTCACAATATACTTGTATGATCTATTTTCTTTACTGCACTACAACCATCTTTGTATCCGTGATAGAATGCACTTCCTTTACATCGACTATCGTCTATTCTCACGAAACAGTCAGGTTTTCTCACACGTGATGGCTCTCTGAAAGTAATCTGAACAATCCCTAGAGAAACTTCGCTGAAGATCGTCACGTACATTCTTCCTAACTTGCATCGTTTCATTTGTCGAGAGCCATTCAACACAGTGAAGAGAAATTTCTTGGTATTCCAATCGCTGGATTGGAATTACTTTTACCACATCTGTGCTTTTCGTGATCTGTTTCGTGCTGATTCATCTGTCATTTTGAATGTGTTCCCCAGTTGTTGATGCGTTTTTATCAGTTATGACTTTTGACTATCTACCTGACCGTGGCTGGTTCTGGATGTTTCAGTTACCATCTACAGCTATAAAACTTCTGTTTCAGTTACCATCTACAGCTATAAAACTTCTATTTCAGTTACCATCTATAGCTATAAAACTTCTGTTTCAGTTACCATCTACAGCTGCACCTCTACAGCTATCTGCACAGATTACCTAGAGTTACTGTGTTGTGCCTATTTATTGGCAACAGGAATTCATTGCGATTACTGATTTATTCCCAGATTTGTAGAGGAAGTCGATAACTGCAAGTTGGCATAATGTTATGTTGCTCATTAGTTACGGTTTGTTTGCAAGAAAATGAAATATAAATTAGATGTGGGTTAGGTAGTAAAAGCAAATGCTTCTACCCGGAGAATTTCATTTGTTGTTGTTGCTGCTGCTTTTCCTCCGGTTTCTGACGAAGTCAGACAAGGTCCAAAAGACCGTTAACTATAAGAGCGTCGAGCACAAGGAGGGGGTCGGGGTAAATATCCTCCCTAGAGAGGGCCAAGCAGCCTAATATGTGCTCGGCAGACGCCTGATGTTCTTGACACTTGGAGCATGTGCAAAAGATTTTCATGCCCTCCTTGAAAGAGGAGCTTATAATATGACCGCTCCCAATACGTGATTTCATTTACATAGTGCTTATCATTACCGGACTTCAGTGAGTTGTGCATTAAGTTTTGACCGACCTTTGCAGATCGCATATTAGGGTAGAATCCTGAATTATTTAACCCACTTAGCTTCTTAAAGCCTGTGAGTAATTCATCTTGAAAACTATTCATAGCCATTAAAACTGAATTTAAATCATAATTTCCAACAGAAAAGTATAAATGAAAGATTTTTCGTTCTTACGTTTTGCTTGACTTGGGCAGCTTTCTGGCTTTATACAGCTACCGTCTTCAGCTTTGACGAGTCCTTTATCACAGACACATCCAGGAACGCACATCAGAACACATGGCCTTGCAGTATCCCGGTAATTTTTGCAAGTGTCAGGGCAAGCAGTCCCGCATCTCTCGAAATGCTGGTTTGCAGGACAGGCAACTAATGATAGAAACACAGGCATTAATTATTTTTGGCTTAATTTACAATCTATAAAAATCATGAGAAAATTACTTATAAATTTTACTTGATGTTTGTAAAAGCAATTAATTTATTTAACCCTTTAAATGGCACCTGTATACAAAATATATCAAAAATTTGGCAACCTTTTAACCTCTTAAAAAATGCTCATTTTTTTACACCAAAATCTGTAATCTTGAGTTTCATTGCTTTCTTTTGACACTAAATGGTAGGACTACCACATGAATACTCAATATTTTGCAGTTGTCAAATTAATTTGTCTTATTCAAAGGCATCATATTTGAAGATTGATCAATTATATTGGACGGGAGTATCCAAAATCTACAAATATATGATGTAAATATGCTGATATTTACGGCATATCAATCAAAACTGATAATTAAAAGTAGATTATCTATACGATTCTAAGACCAGAATATATATATATTGTTGCGTTCTACTGGTTTGCGGATTTTGAGTGATTGATGACAATACTTGAAGAAAAATCAAAACACACTTTATTTAGCCAGTATTACTCAGGATAGTTCCAAAATCACGTTTACAGTCGTCGAAGAACTACGACAAACGCGCTGAAAAAAATCAGCAACACAGTCTTCAGGCCATAACGGTGAAGACAGCTTCACGGCTAAACACTAAAGTACAGCTCCCGACTAGATCGATCGCATTCGGAGCTCAAAACACTCAAGATAAAATTCGACGATACACTCACTATGCAACTGAGGATAGACACTCGCGATGCACTAACTCGCGATACACTACATTCCTCCTACAGGCAGGGCTTATATAGCTGTTGGCCTGCCTTTGAGAACATTCTGAGCCAAACCGGTAAGAATTCGTTCTAGAATGTTCTCCATCTGTCTATGATATATTGCTAATTAATCGCCAAACGGGCGATTACGCGCTAAATCTGCAACCCTGCTTTCCCTTGCCATTTTCTGACAACCCTAAACCTGTCTTGCGAGGAAGATATCTTACCGCGGCTGGGCATTTCATAATAATATTGTACCAGCGTCCATGCTGAGAGTACCTTTCCGACAGATGGTACACCGGGCTTCTCCTTCTCTACTCTGCGGGGTGAGAGAGTTTCTTTTTTTTTTTTAATTTTTTTATTATAATTGTTTGCAATGTAGTATGTTACAGTTGTTTATGATTACTTTGCAAGTTGTTTATGAATAAATATTGTTACGGGTTTGTTGTTATTGTTAAATACGGATTTGTAATAGACTGAGTGCATACAAAACCGATGATAGCTTGATTTATTTATTTTACCAAACAACCAATTCACAGCTCTAAAATGTTCATACAGCTCTTCACAATATCAGCAGCACAATTAGTGCTTACACTTCATATTAGGAACGTTAAACACAATATAATGCACATCTTGAAGAAAAAGCATTCACGGGTATCTCAGTACTCGAAAGTCGCTCTGAGCTGAACAACTAACCACTGAAAAATTGATGTTCTTATTGTTTTTTCCGGCCGCCGAGAAATCTCTAGAACTTTCTGCCTCTCGAAATTACTGGAAGACATATGAGGGCCGGATACGATTACAGCTAACATAGTAATCAATTAGAATTACAATATCCATTACACTTATACAGGGATAGGACCAAAATTTCGTCAAATGGTCGCCAAGTCTGGCGACTTTTAGCGATTTCTCACCAAATTTGTCAACAAAAATTAGTTGCCAAAACTGTTGCCAGCTTGGCTGTATCTCGCCAAATGAACGAGTTATGTTACTCAATGTTAAATAAACTTACCCCTGAATTCTTATTTTTCCAGCAAAATATCATTTCTCTTAAGTTTTTCGTGTTACATTTATCATACAGAAAAATGCAACAATTTCACCAAAATTATCCATATATGTAGAAAATTCGTAACAATATTTTGTTCATGGGATGATGGGGAATTTATTGACGCTGTGCTAGGAATGAATAAGAGTATTTCAGTTTCATCTTATCGTTTACTTCCTCCAGTCAAGCTTCACATTCGTCTCTGTCAAATTAAATTTTTATCTACCAATGTACCCTTTAGCCTAAGACAAACTCGTCAATTTCAAAACTGTCGTCTGGCGTTAAAAATACCTTCTTTGTAATTTTCAGATAAGAGACTATAAGAAAAATGTTTTTCCTGGGTAGTAGGCGGGTTTCGAAATTAATGTTAACAGTTGTTAAAAGGGCAGCAGAAATATTTTGTTTGACCTTAGAAATATTTCTAAAGCCAGTTTCAGACTCGAAACATTTATCTTTGGAAAGAATGTGAAAGTTAAGTATTTGAGTTTTGTAAGTTACAGTGAAGTAGTTCTAAGAAAACTTTCTGCGGAGGAAGCATTTGTTCTGCTTGAGCTTCTTTCTGATGGATCCGATCTTGCCGTATCTGATTTTTCTGATGAAGAATATTTATCAAAAAAGTAAAGAAGGGGAGTATATCTCATATGAGGCAGACTCAGATGAGAACCCAAGTCGTGCTGAGAATATCCAAGAGCCAGGCGCTTCTCATGTGTTAGAAATACGGGGGGAAAAAAGAGGAGTGATATCTCTGTATATAATAAAAGAAAGAGTCAGTCTGTGTGTGTGCGTGTCTTTCGTTCGCGCTGCGCTTCGCTTGACCCACAGCTACGAAATTTGGTACATATGTGCATCTAGACAAGAGCCAGTGCACCTCGAAGCGATCTTTTCGAAATTCGAATTCGAATTTTTTTATTTTATGTTTTGGGACGAAATCGCGTCATTTTGAGACATAAATGGGCTATAGGAAAGCGAGATTTTACTCTACACACTCCATTTTCACATCGTCATGTAACGTAGGCACTTAGCTATTTTACGAACTCAAAATAAATTTCGTGTTACAATAAATCAATTCAATACGAATTTATTTAACAAAGTGAGCCTAACACCTTTTCAACGGGATTTTTTCTAAAAACGCTTATTTTTTTAAATGTACGGTTTATTTTTCTTTGATTTTCGGACACGTTAAACTTTCATCCTTGCGACTGCTTTTACAAAAAGAATTTTGGAAAAATGATAAAATTTTTTATTTTTAAAAAAATTTTAAATGAAGCTCTGAGTACACTTCTCACATCTCACATCTTTAAAAATGTGATTTTGGCAACAATTTTCCTTTCTTATTGTGTTGATAGATTTTTGACGAAATCGCATCATTTGAATAGTTTCATTCTTTTAGAAACATGGGTTTGGCAACAATTTTTCATCGTATTTCATATGTCACTGCTTTTAAGAGATTGGCATATTGCATTGTCATTTTTTTATATATATAATACATATTTATTGATATTTTTTTGATAAAGTTGTTCTGCAGAATACAATTCTGCGCGGATTTTTTTTTTTTTTTTTAGTTTCTTTCGTGTTTTTTTTTGCTTATTCACTTTGTAAGATATTGAAAAGTTTGCATGATTTTTTTTCTTCAACGGAAGTTGGTTAATTTTTATAATATATTAATATTTGTATTAAGGGATTTAGCTTGTTTCACTGTAATTTTTTTCTTGAAACTATAGATAAAATATCATTAATTATTTTGCTTTTCAGAATTTTTTATTTTTTGTATTCTTTTATGTTATTTATTGCTCATTTCACTGTCTTTAAGATATTGAAAAGTTTTGAGGGATTTTTTTAGGAAACAAACCTCCTTTATACCATTTGAGTTCATAAGATTTTGCAAAAGGAAGTTGGTTAATTTATTTATTAGGATAATTAATATTTGTATTAAGGGATATTGCTTATTTCATTGTATTTTTGTTATACGTAATAAGTTTTTTTATGAAGTTGTTCTGCAGAGTATAATTCTACGCAATTTTTGAATTTAACGTTTGGTGTTCCCTTCAGCCATTTTTCCGGTAATTTAAAAGACAGACGAAGGCTGGCAGCGAAGCTGCTAGTAAACTTAATACAATAACCTTAATATTATAATTTTATGATCTTAGAAAAATAACTGTAAAATAAATATTAAAAAATGCTTACTTTTCCTGGATATATATTCCAGAAAATATCTAAGTACCACTTTTAAAATTCTTCTGTTGTGATCAGTCATATACATTTTCCTTGTAAACAGATCAAGAGAAGATCTAACATGTTTTTTGTCATTCATTATAAATGTATCATTATTGTTATCAGTTTTTTCACTATACATCTCATTTTAAACCTATATAATCCTTTAAAAATTCTGTATGGTAAAATTAACAGCACAGTATATAAAAACTGTGATTGCAAAAAAGTTTGTAAGGTAGTTTCACAGGGCCAATGGTTCGATGATCGAAAAAAAGGGCTTTCAGGTGTGTTGGGACGTAACCTGTAATTGCTTTTCTTCCTTAGCAAAATTATATATTACAATCCTTTTTATGGAAACTTTAAAAGGGGGGCTTCAGTTAAAATTAAAACGGGATAAAAGTGTTCTGCCTCTGGGGCTAAAAATAAAAAAAAGGGTTACGAGTTGTATCGGATATAAAACCATTTAACGGTTTCCCTTCCTGACCAAAATGATACACAAAATCCATATTATCAAAATATTACAAACCCTTAAGGGTAACGATAATCGAAAGTGTACGGGGAATTGGGGTTCTTGGTATAATAGCTAAAAGAGATCACTTGATATCGTAGCGAAGCAGGTTATTTTTATACATATATTTATTATCTAAGGCATAAAATATTATAATTTCAAAAATCTAGCATTTCATTTTTCAGCTCAATTACACTTCCTTGTAACAATATGCTAGTTTAGTTGGAGCATGGTACAAGTTAGGCCTCCACTGTTATGTTTACTAAATTTGTGGTAAAATAATACTATTAAATTTAAAGCACTTTTAAAAGTTGTAGAGCCATTAGGTTATTTTGAAGCAGAAGACATGAAAAATGAGCAATGCTCTCGCCGGGATTTGAACCTGGACTTTTCGAATACGCGCCAAGTGAGCTACCGCTACACCAGGAAGGCATGCCGAAAGGCGGAAGTAAATACCTTATATACTTCCCCTTCCTCCTTTTGAAGGGTAACTGGGGATTAGGAGAGCCAATCGCCAAATCCTGGTGGTGAACAATCCTCATCCGCCTTCTTTTAGTTCGGACGCCACTGTAAAGTCATTAGGTTATTTTGAAGCAAAAGACAGGAAAAATAAGCAATGCCCTCACGTGGACTTGAACCTGGACCTCTCGCGCCGAGTGTGCTAGCGTTACGCCACAAAAACATGCCAAAAGGAAGGAGAAAATACCTTATAAAGTTTTTTTTTTTTTCATATTTTACATAAGTATGTTGAACTGGGTGAAACCTGATGTTGGACATTTTAAATCAACTTATCACTTGCACTGATATGAGATTTGCATCCTCTATCGGACTTTCTATATTGCCACACTATAGATTCTATGGTACAAATGTATCAAAACATGATTTACGAAGTAAGTAATAATAAGTGATTGACTCGTTAGCTTTAATAACGGTCAAATTCAGCCTGCAGATCATTTTAGTTTTGAATTAAAAAAATCTATATGAACACAAAGGGTAATTTGAAATTTTAAAATGTATAACTATTATCTTCCCCTCTCTTAAACCAAATCCCAAAAGCATTTTGGTAATTACTAAGCATCAAATTTATTTGCTTTTTTTTCAACTATTGATTAAAATTTTCAAACGCATTTTGCCTTCTCGAGATCTTAATAAGATATTTTTTTCATTCTTATTTTATTCTTTCATTATTAATTCTTAATAAAATATTTTTTTCATTGTTTTAACAAAATCGCTCTATTGATACTTTTGTAAAAGTCCAAAACTCAATGAAAGTATTCCTGAATCTATCTGGCATTACAATCAGACAAGACATCACAGACGATTCCTTTATGCTGAAGTCACTCACTTCACGTCAACAAATGTTAATATATATCAGATTAAAGCTAACTTATCAAATGTTGATCAAAACTGTTGATATATATCAGATTAAAGCTAACTTATCAAATGTTGATCAAAACTGTTGATATATATCAGATTAAAGCTAACTTATAACTTATCATCTTATTAGAATGACATTTCACACCTAAAACATTAGTCCATTTTTAATTGATATCGTAAAACATGCAAAGTTAATTCTTTTTCAGAAAAACGCTCATGAGAAACCAAAGTAATAAAGCACGTTATCATTTCCACTGTACATTGAAAAATAGGAATCCAATTTAAAATTTGCAAAGAAAGGAGATTAAAAATAGAGTATAATTTTACTAAAGATTAGATGAATGAGAATTTTCTAAGTTTAAACAGCTATCTACCCTATAAACGAATTGTTATCTACCCTATAAACGAATTAGCGAGATAAAATATTTTATGTAATTAATTTTAAGTATTTTTCATTTTATATTTTGATTGTTTGTAATAGTTAATTCTAATAGTAAAAATTTAGTTAATTCTAATAGTTACAAATTATATTTAGCATTATCAGTTAAGCTCAGATGTGAGCATAGACTCACAATTTTTTATTTTTATGAAAATTTTTCTCTAAAGTACATTAACATTCTGTTGCTTTAAAATAAGCATGTTTATAAAATGTATTTTTCTCCAATCTTCTATCAATTTCTTTCTGAATTTTGTCAGTGATAGAGGGGAAGCAGTAATTTATTTTACTTTTCGGAAACTCAAAAGCAGTCTTTTTGCAAGCGACTTCTAAGCCTTGATGTTATGAGCTGAAATCTTTTTATAAACTATTTTCAACCTTTGAAGAGCTGAAATCTTTTTACAAGCTATTTCCAGCCCTTGAAGAACTGAAATCTTTTTACAATCTATTTCCAACCCTTGAAGAGCTGAAATCTTCTTGCAAACCATTTCTAACCATTGATATTATGGGAGGAAATCTTCTTGCGAACTATTTCCAGCCCTTGATATTATGACCTGAAATCGTTTTGCAACTATTTTAACCCTTGATATTATGAGTGGAAATCTCCTTGCAAACTGTTTCTAACCTTTGAGATTATGAGCTGAAATCTTGCGAACTACCTCTAGGCCTTTAAATTATGAGTTGAAATAAAATCATTGAATTAGAAGCATATATAAGAAAGATTTTTCATTCATACTTTCTGCTTGACTTGGGCAACTTTCGGGCTTTATACAGCGACCGTCTTCACCTCTGACGAATCCTTTATCGCAGAAGCATCCAGAAACGCACATTAGAACACATGGTCTCAAAGTGTCCCGATAGTTTTTGCAGTTGTCTGGGCAAGCAGTCCCGCATTGTTCGAAATGCTCGTTTTCAGGACAGAAATCTGCAGAGAGAAATATGGATTAATATATTTACCAAAAATAATTTTTTTAATAAATATTATACTATCCTAAAAATTTAAGAAACTTTCTAACTTCAGTTTAGATTAATAAAACAGTGTGAAACTAATAAAGCATTTTGAATCAATTAAAGATTTTTTGAAAAAAAAATTTAATCAAAATTTCATCTGTGGTTAATTATTTAAAACATTGTAATTGAACAATTAAGAAGTACTGAACACACGTTTCGTCCTTCTTGACAGTTTAAGTGAAATTAAAAAACTAATCTCAAAATCCTTTAAAAAAGATTTTACTCCTCATCTCAAAGAGTCAAAATTGTGCTCCAATGTGAATTCAGTCATCGAAAAAATTTTAAAAATAATACAAAATAATTCAAATCATACATTACTGTAAAATGAAAAAAAAATGAAATTAAAAGATTTTAAAAAAATGAAAAAATTCTAGCTATTTAAAGCACAAAATAAAATACATGTACAAACTAATTATGCTAAAAGATTTTTAGACTTTCTAATTCTACAACGAACAATGTTTGGCATTTTAGCTTAAAACATTTTAAATAAACTATTACTGTTGCCGAAAAACACTGTAAAATCTTTTGATTCTGCACTCTAATCCAAGTAAATGGTGTGGAAGTTTGAGAAATGGAGCAAAAATGAAGAAAGGGAAGCGTGTACTCACGCTATACCAACAGATAAATATTAAAAAAGTTAAGCAAAGGAAAAGAAGAGAGCTACTGGCGCCATCTTCTGGCGAGACGTGGAAACAGCTATGGAATATATCGTTAACTTTTCACTTGGGCATAGATAGAGAAGAATATTTTTATTTATTTATTTATTTATTTTTGTAAATCAATGATGCCACTTAGTCAATTAATCAATCAGCAAGGGACAGGAAACAAATAAGCAGAATCTGCTATTTCCTGTTCCGCGTTAAATAGTCCATTTTGAATATTCATACTAAACCGAATTTTTTTAGTCTTGTTTACAGTAGTGAACACATATGAAAATGAAACGTCCCTAGAAAATCTAATTAACCAGTGGAAGAAGATTTTTATTGTTAAATTTATTTAGCTACAAATTTTATTTAATTCAGAAAATCTCTTGTGATTTGTGGCATTAAATTAATATACACTTATTATCTTTACTTAGTTACTTAATTTCAAATAGATTTTTTAAAATCATATTGCACATAAAGTTCAGTAGGTCAGATTTGGACCATTAACATTCATATTGGTTACTAGCTGGATAACTTCTTTCAGTTCTGAAGAAGTTGTTTTTCGAGGAATCGATGAAAAAATTATTCTAATAGTTTTAAATTTGCCATTACAGGAGTGAGATATTTAACTACATTAACAATTTTAATTCTGTTATGCTTTTATTATAGACAAAGTTTATCTTTCAGCAACAGTTCTTCTTGTATTAGATGAAATCTGCTAAGGGTCATTTTCATTGCAGATTTAAGTTATTTTTAAAACTAGTATAAATTTATGGGTACTAGCGTATTAATGCACGCACCTTAGTAGAAGCCGCCAAACACTGGCAAGCATATGCGTAACCTTGCTTCAACAAAGCCGTCGTATGCCCTCTTGTTTTGTATTCCAAGTTTCAACCATTTTTATAGATAAACTTTCATATGTTTTACTTCAACTCAATTTAAAAATATTCCTTCAGGATTTCTCCAGTAATGGAAGTTCCAATAATGGAACGTTCTCCAGAAAGCAATATTTTGCAGCAAATTTGCCAAAAGAAACAATTATGATGTGCGTTTGCTAGGTAGACAGTGCTCACGGCCCAGTTTGGATAATTATTTGATTTTTTTTTTTTTTTTTTTTTTTTTGAGCGAAAACTGATCGCTGTGTACATGGGAACAAGGCTAAATAATAGAGAAAGATTTCACGAAATATACAGTTATTTTATTTTTTATTGAATCATATAATCCTTACTTGAAAATTTTACATTAAAATTTGTAATATTTTTTTTAATATGTTGATAATGTTTTCCGACTTACGGTAAATATCGATAGTTTGATCATATTAAAAAAAAAATTCCCAAAAGTCACGAAGTTGCAATCCGATAAATAATTTTTACCTTTTCATCTACAAAAAATTTTCATAGTGTATCAAGGTAGTTGCGTTAATACGTAACTACCAAATTTTACAGCTTATGTTTTGGAAGATTTCTTGTGAAACTTTATTTTCTCAAGAAGTGAGAAATCCTTTCTTTTAGTATGCGTGTTGTGTGCTCAAAGGGAGAAGGATAAGAGCCATTAAATGTTAGTAGTGATATATACAACATATTCACAATCTGGAGAATCGTTTTCGAAGAAAGATCATTTTCAAAGAGACTTCAGTGTTAAGATCAGTACAAGATAAGGCGGTCAATGCGAGATATGCCCCTATTACTGGCTCTTTTGTAAGAATGGGAGAAAATACTCGACGAATATTTTGACAAGAACGAAAGAGAAATGCAATGATAATTCACCTATATTATACGTGATCCTTATTACTTTATCGCAATTGAAAAAAGAATGCTTCAAGACTTCATATTTAACACTTAATAAATAAAATACTATTAGCCTTGCTGTAATTCATCACAGAGCGCCCCACTGAACTTAATTTCCGCTGTTTAGCAACCCGAAATAGATAACACTAAAGATCTTAATTTTCCACAAATGAGTCTATAGAATCATAAGGTTCTTTTTGAAGCAGGAAAAATGTGCAGTGCCTTCGTCGAGACTCGAGCACTGGACTTGTTGAATACGCGTCGAGTATGCTTCCAGTTACTCTACGAAAGCGTGTTGAAAGATGGGAGAAAATACCTTATATGCTCTCCCTTTTAAATGGTGACTGGGAATTAGAAGATCCAGTCGCCAAATTCTGGTAGTGGCGAATTATCGTCCACCAACCTTTCAGTTCGGCGCCATTGAAAGTTTGGTGGACGATGGTCACCAACCTTTCAGTGGATGAAATGTAATGTAAAATCATTAGGGTTTTTGATGCTGGAGACTTGAAAAATGTGCACTGCCCTCACCGGGATTTGAACACCGTACCTCCCGAACACGAGTCAGTATGCTTCCTATTACACCACGAAGAAAAGCAAAAAGAAAATACCTTATAAGTCTATACTCATTTTTCAACTTTATTGTCTAGACCCATTTCTCAATTTGATTCACGATGAAACATGGATCTAGTTAAATCGTGAAAAGAAAACAGATTTTAAAGTAAACAGATCGACATTCTCCAAAAGAATAACTACATTAAAATCATGATATTTTTGCTAAGAGTCTGTTGCTTAGGTAAACCTTAGACTTATATGAAGACCATTCTTGATTAGTAATCCAGGTTAGATACTAGTGCAACTGACCATTCTCTTTCACTTCTGGAGTGGTTAAAGTTTGGAGTACGTCGAGCAATGGGGTAAATCCTCTTTGAAAATTAACATTTTTCATTTCTCACCTTAAATCCCTTAAGTATTTGATGTAATTTACCAAAAGACTAACCTTTTATTGGACATTGACAATGTCCGATTTCATGGAATTAACTCTAGACAACCAGATCCAGGAAGATCAAGTTGCTGTAGAAATACATTGAACATCTCTTTATTACAGTCTTATTATTACTTCAAAAGAAAACCCCTGGCTCTCTTTCTACAATCACCCTTTAAGAAAATGAAGTAAAATAGAACACTAATGAAATATCTGGTAACTTGATTGGTATAATAAAAAGCGATGAGAAGTATGTATGCCTATTGGAGTTAGAGAAAGATATTTCTTTAGAAACATTTTTAATTAGCTATAGTAATATTTTTTACTTCCTTGTACGAAGTAAAGGAAGTATTGTAATCGCGAAGAGTTCCTGGTGCCGTATTTCAACGAATAAATCCATTTCGACCGCTCTCAGAACCATTTGAACGGTGTTTTTGCGTAATATTTGTACAACCAGACAGAATAAAGGACTTTTTTGCCAAAATGGATTCTAAAATGAATTAAAAAGAGTTTTTTTTTCCTGTACGTATGTATGTACTTTGAATAACTCAAGAACAAATAGCCCTAGAACATCGAAATTTTGTGTATGGGACGGCTGTAACATGTAGTTATGCACCTCTCTTTTCCGTTGCAATTGGCTGCACCAGTAGTATATAAATAAATATATATAATTGAAACAGAAATTGTAAAGCTAACAAGTAATGAGACGTAAGACCTATTTGGTCTAAAAATTTTTGCGCATAATGCTGCAAAAAGATACCAAATAATAGTAGGTAGAAATATTGCAGCGATCTTGCTAAAAATTTACCAGGAGCTGTAGCTCCACGAAATAATTCAACGCTGTATTACTAAAATAAGAACTAAGAAGAACCCTCTGCCACCTGGCTTGCTGAGCTTAGATTTTTTTTATTCTTATATGTTGGCAAATTGTGCTTTTGTTGCTTTAAACGTGATTGAATTATATGGCTTTTATGTTCCGGCTAAGGTTTTTTTGCCTTTAGTTAATCTGCTTGCAATATTTGTAGAATCATCAACAATTTAAAAGTTTAATCCGCGAGTTAAGCCTAACAAACCGCCATTTATTTACATTTGAGGCTCAGCAGAATAGTGAATAGAATTTCTTACACCTTCAATATCTTTTTGCAGAGTGGGATCAAAAGTAAAGTTTCAGTTTTATGCACCGAAAAATCTGCTTTCTTGCCCACTGGTCGAATTGCTTGTTTTTGCGTACAAACTCCAATTTTATTTATAAATTTTTTTTAATTGTATTTGGTGTTTTATGTTTTCCTGTATTTTACAATTTTTAATGAAGATGTTAAGTTTTCATATATTTTTGTTTTGCTCCGAAGACAGAGCTGAAATTAATTGAATGAGAAATATATCTCTAAAGAAATTCGAGGGAATACGTTTAAATGAAATACAGCAAAATATGTGTATAATTTAATAGATCGTACAAGGAAGTCATGTGGTATATACATCAGACATTTTAACTTTTACCTCGGTTTGTGCTGTTACCAATTTAAAAGTCAGACGGAGCAAAAAGTCTTCCAACAAACACTCTTCTACGATTACGAAGATTTGAATTAGTTAACCGTAAAAATGTAACTTATTTTAGAATAAAGATTAATGAATAATAAACACAAATTTTCTTATACTTAAGAATTTTCAACATATTAGCATGAATAATATACATCATAATAACATATCATTATGAAAGCATAATATCATTCATACGAAACAAGCAAAATAAAATCGATCCTACTTGATTATCACTAAAAATTTTAACTTTGTTATTTATCGGTAATTTTAATGAATATTTTTCTCTACAGTTTATGTTTGAATAAAAATCACTTTGTATATCAAAATTATTAATAATTAAAAATCTTACTTAAGAAATTTTAAATTTTAAATTTGCACATTTTTATACAACTGGTTAACACGTTGTTAAATTGTATACTGAGTTCAGCTTGTATGCAAAAATGTGTGCTTACCAGTTTGCTTTCCGAACTATTAATTTAAAAAATTCTTTTAATGATGTTTAATACAAAAATATCATTATCTATCTTTACTGACTTCTGCTTTGAGACAAACGTTTTCAGATTTTTAACTCAAAATCAAGATTCTCAAGACAATTCTCTTAAAACGTAACAAAATAAGTACATGTATTTTATAAAGAAGCTTTAGCATATTTTCATAAAATTCAAAAATAAAAATAACTACATCCTGAGAACATAAATCATTTCAGCACTCACCTTTCCAAATATTCCTACTATGTCTTGCCTCTTACAACTTAATACTAGTATTCTATGTAATATACATAATGCAGAATAATTGGAAAAGGAATTATATATCTGCCCGAAATGATATTTTGAAGTGCAATCATAAGCTAAATATGCATAAAAACAAATGTCATTTTGATTTAAAATTCGTGAATTCGAAGTAATTATAAGCAAAGAGTTCAAGTTGATATTGAAAGTTTAAGGACGTATTTTGAGCAAAACTTTGTCATGAAAACGTTTTAAATATCTTTACAAAGTATTCTTTGGTTAGCGAAAATGCAACTAAACATTTAATTATTGTTAATCAAGAAATTAAAGTAGATTCGAGTGAACCAGTTCATCAACCTCAAAATACCTATAAAAATATTCTCTTCCTGTTATGTGTTTTAAATATTATATATAAGTTTAGTTTAAGTTTTTCAATTAATAAATAAAAAAATTTCTTTTTCATGCAATTACGCTCATTTTTTCAATCGCATTAAAATTAAAGTTCAGCACATTTATTAGAATTTTTTGGTAGAAAATTAACATTATTTTTCATATATTTAAGAAATAAAACTTAATATGACCTTACCCTCGCTGGCAAAAGCCAGAGTAACAGCGCATAAAAGGATAAGAGCCTTCATGTTTGATCACGTAACTGCTAGTTTAGGAAGAGAGATACTTTTACGAAATGCAATATATATGTAAATGAAACATCTGAAATGTGTAAAAAATCCCATGGGACAAAATGAATGATTACGGCTATTAGATAAGTTCTGGGAAATAACATCTTGCATGTGTCTATCGTATTTCGGAGCAGCAAACGTTTATTTCCTTAGCACTTCAGTTTCTCTTGGAAGCAAAAAAAAAAAAAAAAAAAAAAAAAAAACCACTACAGATAAATTTACGTCATCACGATAATGTGTAAATGTAGCTAATTGAAAAATTCTACGTGAAAAGGACAAAAGACGACTTACATTTCTCGGGAAAGATAAGAGTATGAAATTGAACGAAATAATAATGCTACTGCTTTTAAATGAATGTTACAAATTAATGTAAACATAAAATTAATTAAAGTCTTTTCAGTTATTAATAAGTTTTTATTTATTATGAGATTTATTTACGAAGCAAAATATAATGAAAATGATATGATGCTTCGTTCAAGTATTCCAAACTTGTTATATAAAGTTAGTAACTTACAGATAACAAAACTGCATATAATTATCAAAAAAAAAAACAAAATATGATATTTTCTTCGTGTATTCCAAACTAGTTAGTATATAAAATTAGTACCTTACAAATTACAAACTTGCTCATAATTATCAAGAAAACAAAATATGATGCTTCCCTCATGTATTCCAAACTTGTTACATAAAGCTAGTACCTTACAGATAACAAACCTACTCATAATTATCAAAAACAAAAACAAAATATGATGCTTCCTTCATGTATTCCAAATTTATTACACAAAGTCAGTACCTTACAGATAACAAACCTACTCATAATTATCAAAAGCAAAAACAAAATATGATGCTTCCTTCATGTATTCCAAATTTATTACACAAAGTCAGTACCTTACAGATAACAAACCTACTCATAATTATCAAAAAGGGCTTTTAAAACTGCCAATGAGTTATTATAATCTGAAATTTTAGGTTAGCATAAAAATTTCTCTCTCAAAAATGAAAAAAATTTTGATAAGTTATGTAGAAAATTAAAACCTTTTATTATTTATAATCCTTCATGACACTATAAAAATATCTTATTGAGTAGTTAATGAACGGTTCAAGAGAGAGTTTTGCATTAACTAGTATCACAATTTATATGCGTTGCCCAACCGGGATACTGGTTAGTATGCCAGATACTGGTTAGTATGCCAGAAAAGGGCATACTAACCAGTTTATACTATGCTGCATATGTATGTCACTTAAAGCACTAATTGTGGCAAAGTACTTATCTGCTATGCCCCTTGTTTGGCATTTTTTAAAAATTTTTATTTTATTTTATTTCATTTTATTTATTTATTTATTTATTTATTTATTTATTCTATCACATGACATCCAATAAATATGCTGGATCTCAGCGACTGTCTGGGGGGTTCGTGGGGCTCCCACCCTTCCCCATACCATACCATCTTGGGGTGCTTTAGATAAAGGGGGACGCGGTGCTATACCAATTAACCGCCATGGTAGAGGGGTGGTGCTCGCGTCCTCCGTCATTAAAGTAAACTATGTATAGTGTCTATGCAGCATGGGGCACTCTAAATATGCGTCGAGCCGGAAGTCCTCTCAGGAGGTCAGTGCTAGAAGAAGAGAGTGGAAGATCCTCGAACCGTCCCCCCGGGCTGCTTTTCATCCAAACTGGGGGCGGAACTAAACAAAGCCTTACGGTCACCTCTATGGTGCTCGAAGCTCTTGCCGACGTTGTCCAAATGAATTTGGTGGACTTGTACTTATGTTACTTTCAGACAAGTGAGATAAGTCGCAAAAGCGTAACAACAAATTATATGCCATTTATTCACAAATACTTTAAAAAAATTAAAAGTATTTAAACATTTGTTCGTCTACAGGGTATAAAAAAACTACTTAAAAACAAGAAAACGACACATCTACGAAGAACCATTTCACTTACGATAATAGGTAAAAATTGGAAAGTATTACGAGTGTAGAGAAATGGAGGCTATATACAAAAGTGTACCATATCATAATTTTTTTGCATAAGTTTTGAATTAGATACAATAAGTTATCCAGCTTCCTTCAGATGTGTATGCTTCGCAGTTCGATAGAATGTTTTAAAGTTTAGAATGGTGTGCTTTAGTTGGCTAGCCAATTCATTGAAATTCCAGAACTAGCATAAGTACCATTTATCACCTATCACACATGCTCGATCAGGAGAGGTGCATGTCGATATTATAGATTTTCAGTCACGAAAGGCGACCTGCCATATTTGACAAACATTATGTAGTTGAAATATACTCTGATGCAGCTATAATGAGATTGTAGAAAGGTGATTGTAGAAAGTTGTTTTAGTTTTTTGTAGCCATGAATGTGTTAAACAGAGCTACGACAATGTAATGAAACAGCAACAAAGAACAGCAACAGATGCTTGCTTATATGTATTTCTCACAACGTCTTTCTGCGTGAATATCTTGCTGTATCACATAGAGGAGACAGAATCTGTACACTGGTTTGCCGGCTTTAAGCTATGAAAGTAATGCAGTCGGTATTTATACATCTAATTTAGAAAACTCTCACAGTTTTTAGTGAGAGTTCTCACAGTTAGTCAACTGCATGAAGTCTGAAAGTCTTATTCTCAAATTACACGTATATATTATCATCATTAGTTTTTTTCACCACAGTATCGCTCAACAAATACCTAGCATGATTAGAAATTTAGAATTCTAAAACCCATAGGCAAGTTCCAAAAACGTTTTATATGTGTGCTTTGTTGCCTCTGAAATGGCAGTGAAGAAGACTTACTGAGCAATAAAATATTTATAAAATATCCTGTACTCTACATTGCTAGTGAATTAGGTTTCATGCCCTGTGTTTCTTAACCTGAAACAGAAAAAAAATGAATAGATTAATTCGAATATATATCCAATTCATAAATGGCATGTTGAATACATAAAACTCTCATTAGAACTTGGAAATTAATATAACAATAATCAACTTTGAGAATTAAAATTTTTACTGATAGAACAGGTCTCAAATAAGTCATTTATACATATCTCAGTAATTCACATGACTCAAATAATTATTAGGACTCAATTATTCATTAATAATTAGAACTCAAATTCAAATATGTTATATATTAGTAATATTATAATTCATATTATGTAACGTGGTAATTCCATCAGTATAATTCGGTAGTAATCAGAACCCTAATAATCCATTTATTAAGATTCAGAATTCCAGTTATCTAAATCATTTGGTCTTTCTAGCTAAGCAAAATTCAACCTGATGTTAATTCATATAACGTGTTTCAATGTTTTGTAAATTAAATATATATTGTATAAATTTTAATTCACAAATCACATGCCTATTTTATTTTTGTTTTATATAAATTTTTATTATTTACATACGTATTTTTATTTTACTTTGAGAAAAAAAAAAATTACTTTAGTTAATTTTAGTTGAATGGAAATACGTATAAATTTTTCAAGCAAAAAAAAAAAAAAAAAAAAATATTTTTTTCTGTAATTTAGAATAAGAAACAAAAATTAAGTGTTTTGTTTTAGGACGAACGGAAAAGTAATTTTGCCTTTCGTTTAGAGATTAGTGACCATAATCATGACAAAAATTTAAACAAAGCTTTAGGTTTCTTCAAATGTCTTACCAACACACGTATTTTCACACAGCTTTCTGGTTCTAAAGTTGTTTTTGTTTCCATGGCAACCTCCATAAATGAAAAGTTCGCATTTTCTAGTTTTGTTATTAAAATAAAATCGGTGGAAGATGTGTCTGCACGGTCCGGACTGCCTCCGTTGTTGGCAAGCACCTGTATAGGTCATAATTTATGAAGCAACATTTATTAGTAAATATGCGTGCAGCAATTAAAATAGAGATAGTAATAGAGAATCTACAGCAGATAAAAGTTGAAACTCTTGTTTAAATGTAGTGTAAACAAAAATATTTAAAAAATATTGTACAACAGAGTAGAGTGAAATTTTTTTTTAATTATTGTTCTTATTAATTAAATAATTTAGAAATTTTTTAAAAACATATCTGGACGTGTTGCCGTTTATTGAACATGTTTAACGTGCAAAATTTCTTCCAAATTACATCTGATCTTTGCCTGCTGAATTCTGCCTAAACTTTTCCCAATTACACCAATTAAATTAAGTTTGGCATATTAATATTCTATATCTTGGCTGCACAAAATATCAAGCTTTTCAATTCTAAACGAAGCTGTTCAAATTTTTGAAGTTACGTACAGACACCTGGGTACAAACGTCCAGATTGCTGTACTGAAAAAATATATTACCTATTATTTATTAATTATTATAGTAAATATAAAAAAATAAAAATACATAAATAAGAAAACACGTAAAATGCATGCAGAGTAAACTAAATTAGGCGATGTAACGAGTTAGATTTACTCGATGGTGTTCGATCATTAACGTTACGTCTCGTCAAGGAATATGCATTGTTAACGGAGGAACAGCTAGCATTAGCTGAAAGGCTCTTTGCTTTCCACACCATAAAACACAATCAGAAGTTTCAGATCAATTGATTGTATGTCGCAAATGATCAAAACTTGTACGACAGAAAATTTGCATTTGCAAGGACAAAAACCGAAGCAGTTATTTGTAATGTTTTTTCACTATATTCGTTTTCACAATTGCAGAAAGATTTAGATTTTATATGCACATTTATATCCATATATTATCATGCTTCCAGCCACAAAGACTTAATATTATTTCCCACAATTGTTACACTTTTTGATCCAGAAACAGGAATTAAAATTAGAATATTATATTTTGTTTCATTGCCGGGTGAAACTTCACAAATAATTTTTGATTCAATAAGTACTATTTTAAAAAATAATAAGTTTAACAATAAAATTATTGCCTATTCTGAGGATAACACTAACGCAAATTTTGATAGAAAAGCTAGAAGAGGCAACAATAACGTTTTTACGAAACTTAACGAACATTTGAACCAATAAATTATTGGCGTAGGTTGTGCAGCACACATTCTACACAGTACTATTCAAACAGCATCTGACTTACTTCCAGTGGATCTTTAAAATATTAATGCAAAAATTTATTCGTATTTATATATATATGTTACGGTGAAACACCGAAATCTGGAGAATGTCGACTTTCACCGGTGAATGTCAACATTCACATAGTCGCTTGGTGTATGTCCGAAATATTTTCCAAATACTCTTATTTCTGACTTACACCGGTGAATGCCGACATTCACCATGTACTAATGGTGAATGTTGAACATATAAGAATATTATATTTCCTTCTCCGTAATTCATTCGCGAAAAAACGCACTTGAGACTCAGAATAAGAACTTAAGAACATAATAACTTAAAACACACAGTACATTCAAAATGAGAAAGGAAAATAATAGAAGTTATAAACTTACCAGATTATGTGATTCAAATCTTATTTATTGCAACAACTTAAACTATTATGACACTTTGAATTGCACAAGAGGCCCTTGCTTTTACAACTGCATTTATTTGTGGAACACTTTCTTTTGGAATGGCAGCGTGTACATATACTCCTCTCTTTTCGACCTACACCAGAGCATTTCTGTGATTGCCGACATACACCGGTGAGGGTCCGAATGTACAAGAATGTAAAGAAATATTCGATCTTTCACCGACGTATTTGGTGAATGCTGACATTCTCCGGTGAAAGTCGACATTCTCCAATTTCGGTCTTTCACGGTAACATATATACACTGTTAATGTTGGAAGTTTGAAGCATTTTTGTTCAAGCGCAGAAATCGAATATAAAAGAATTATTAGTTACAGCAAAACACGATGGCTAGCTCTTTTACCAGCTGTAGAAAATATTTTAAAAATATACGAACCATTAAAATCATACTTTGCAGCTCTTTCTTGAATATGACACATCACAAATTTGGCATCAGTTCTTCCACAACCAAGCTACATTATTTCACAATGCTGTGAAAATTATTGAAGTGGACAAAATTTCAATTACGGAAGTGTCAAATGAAATCAATAATTTAAAACAAAATTGCGAGAAAAAATTGATAACGATTACGTTCCTTAAGATATTTGAAAGGACATCACTAGGTTGGAAAAACAACATGCTATGGGCCATTAAACGACCTAATTTTCTGAAAGAAGTCAGAAATTTTTATAATAACTGAATAAAATATCTTGAACAGACAGTTTAATTCGAGGATATTAAAAATTTTTATTGGGTGACATTAAAAAAGGAGATTTTATGGGAATGTGTGGAAAAATCTTTTTAATATATTAGTAACCATTTTCCGAAAAATAATATTTTCGAAAATGATCTTTTTTATGAGGTATCATTTTTAAAAATATACGTTATTGAATAAAAAATTAAATGTTCGTTGTCTGAAAATGTGGAAACAGATAAAAAAACGGACGGAGTTATTCCTTCATTTTAAACAGAATAATATTCCTTATGAAAATATTTTGAAAATTGCAGAACATGCGCTCTCCCTTCCAGCAACAAATAGAACGTGTTTTTTCTAGTATCAATAAAATATGGACAACTGAAAACACGCAGTTGAACAGTAAAACTTTAAAGTATGTATTAAGCGTAAAATATTATTTGACCAATTTATGTGAGAAATTTCCCGCCATTTTAATAAACGATCGGAATCTATTGCAAAGCATTCACTCGGATAAAAAATATGACCGCGAAAGAAAACCATAATATTTTTTTAATAAAATTTTTAATTAATTAAAAACATAATATTCAAACTATAGTTTTCTACAAATATTTTTACAGTTACCAATAGTTAATAATAAATATATTTTTGTATATTTATGTATAAGTAAATGAAGGTATACAATAATAGACATTTTTTTGAATTATTGGTCTGCTTTCATAACTAAACTACAAACTTCATTTCATTCCATTTGTCCCGCTTTGTCCCGATGAAAATGTGATCACTTTACACTGAAGCCTCTGGTCACGAATTTAATTTGTTCCTAAAAGCCGTTCGCCAACCGAAATTTTCGCAAATCGAAACAAATCAGCAAATTCGTTCCTGAAGCAGAGATGATTACTTATTTAAACTCTACAACAGTAATTTGCGCACAATTCGTAAACCAAGAACCGATGGATATTATTAAATATAAACAAAATAGCATAAATAATAAAAACAGAAATGATTTTAGAGAGATAAAATAGACAAAAACTTTGATTTTCTGTACCTGTACAAAGAGTAGATAAAATGAGTAGAAAATGTTGAAGAAAATGTTATTGCTTGGATGCGAAATTCTCTTCCATAAAAACATTAGGTTGCATTAGATTAGGTTATTTGAATACAGCAAAGTCACTAAGCCTATTTTTCTAATAGGAAGGGTGCTTTCGTGGAAAACGTTCTGAGGAAAATTGGCTCGTATTCACGATATACATGGGGAATACCACAAAACCCAACCTTGTAACCAGTCCGTCCGCCTGAGAGCGGGGACCAAGCCAGGTCGAACTATCAGTGGTCTTAACCACTCGACCACTGGTGGGGCTAACTATCTTTAAGGCGCATCTTCTTCTTTCTATTTATTTATTTATTTTTATTTTTATTTATTTATACATATATTTTGCTTTATTTCTAAACTCGACTCTTTTCTGCATGAAAGTCAATGAACATCATTTTCACTAAATTTTGCCCAATTTGATTTCCTGTTACCTACTTCTTAAATTGTTTTTAAAGTGAGACATGGCATTATAATTGAGAATGCTCATTCTATTACTTTATCAAAGTGAAATCTATACTTCAAAACTTAGCATCTTATTTCATTTTCCACCAGCTTTGCGGATCAGAAAACCAGGCTGTTTCTGAAGTTATGTTAGTGCTTTTATGTTCAGATTACTTTTATAGTCCTCTAATAACTTCTTCACGTCTTCAGTGTTAACTTCCTAACATAAGATTCTACCTAAAGATACAATACCATAAAATAAGCGTTCTTAAGTATCCAGGGGCTCAAAGTCTTTGCCTGAAACCGAGTTTGGCCATAATTTTCTCCAAGGAAAATCCAGATTCCTCAAATTCTGTTACTGTCAGGCCTTGTTAATGAGAGTTAATGAGAGGCAATATTAAAATGAACTTTTTCGGAAATCCTTGAGTGGAGTGTTAATTTTGTGATACAAATTACCCCAAAAAACGTTTCAAAATTATATGTTGTCGACGTAAGTGTTCATAACTCGAGACACTGTTCGTCATCTAAGCCGTTTTTGGAGAGTTAAATTTCACGTAACGAACTGTTCGGGAAGTGAGACGTTTGTGATCCTAGGTCTCACTATATTTACAAAACAAGTTGGACAACTTTCTAAATGGCAACACTTATTTACAAAGCAAGTGAAAAATGGTAAACATTTGCTACATTGATAGATGCAGTGAAATGTATTTACTTAGTATACGAAGTGGGCAATTTTCTGGTTTCACATAACGGCCATCTTTTGTCTTTAAATATCCTTTATCGCAAAAGCATCCTGAAACACACTTTTCCAGGCATACTTTGCTAGGGTCTCGATATTTTTCACAGCTGAAGACACAAGGTGAGCTGCATACCTCAAAATGCTGCTTCTCAGGGCACTCTGTTTACGAAAAGAGAAAACTCTCATTGAATCCCTTTTTATGCACATGTAAACGAATACAAAAATTAAAAATGTATTTATATATATGAACACATACGTATACATGTGTAAGATAAAAGAATTAAAACTAACGCATTATGAATTAGGATTTCATCCTGAACACAGCTTACTTCCTTCTACACTTCGACGTAGCTTTACTTACTTATTTACCACCAGCTGAGTTGCTGTAGCGCCTGTTGTATGACTATCAGCATTTGTACTCAATTGGTGGAGCATTCTATTGTCGCTAGGTCTAGCCAAAAATCTCTATAGAATATTACAATTTGTAGCGGAATTTATAAAGTTACTTCAGAAGATGGATATGTTTGACCTGGGGTTATAAAAGAGACCCTGTCAAGACTTTGACTGTGCTGAACGAGGATTTTAGCAGTGTCTTATGCATTGTGATTCTGAGTTTACGGAGAATGTTTACTCTAGACGTCAGTGGTAACTGTAATATAAAAAGTTATTCAGGTGCATTATACTAAACAATATCAACTAGGTATATTAATGTACATCATATGTGCTGTTCACATATTTGCAGAGTTCCTGTGTAATATCTGCTTGTCACATTCATAATAGTCTCTTGTGTTATTCACTTATTTACGTTTCGCTTATAATTCACTTATGTATGCTACTTGCTGCTCTCTTCTTACACTGCAAAGTTATCAAAAATATAAACGTTTTGAAAAAGGTACGAGTACTGCGACAAGCTATGGCCGCAACACGTTGACTGAAATAAAGATGAATACTTATTCTGCCTCGGCTGTTAAGTTTCTCTTCATTATGGACCAACATTCTGTGCAATCAATATTTCTGCAACATCTATGTCTATTGCTTCATTATAGTGTCGAAATGCTATATTTCTCCATCTACGTCATCAACTGTTTTTAATAATTTCACATCTAAGTTTGCTTCATTGCGTACATGCACACACACACGCACACACACACACATATATATGCACTATATACAAATGTGATTGTACAGACATTAGGTATTTTTATGCATGAAATATGAGCAATGCTCTCACCAGGACTCGAACCTAGACCTCTCGAATTACCCGCCGAGTTTGCTACTGTTACACCACGAAGGCACGCAAGAAAGGAAGGAGAACATATCTTATATACTCCCTCTTTTGAAGGGTGACTGGGGATTAGGGGACCCAATTGCCAAATCCTGATGATGAAGAATCATCTTCTACCACCTTTTTCTAGTTCAGGCGCCACTGTAGAGTCATTAGGTTCATGAATACATCTTCCTATATGAATAATTTTCAGAAACCACAAGTATTATTTGTATTATAATAAATAACCACCGAATCCCTACAGCATTCAAGTGAGATGAAAAGGGAGTTGAAATATGCAAAAGATGCCTCAATGTTTTTAGTTCTTCGATTTATTTACGGTAATTAGGTGTCACATGCTATAAATAAATTTTATATGAGATACGATTTACGACTAAGTTTTACAGGCAGAGGTCAATAAGCACATATTAAGTGTTATATTGTAAATATGCTGTCTTAAAAATGGTAAGTGCAACGACACTATATTGTAAGCGCAAAAATTAAAACAATATCTTTCTGGTTGTCCTCCAAGTGATGAGAGAGTACAGATGTACCCAGAGCAGAGAACTCATGCAGTCTTGAAGAGAAGAGTATAACCCTGTAATTACACACAAAGTTTCCAAAGAACGACAGAGAAGTGAAGCAAGCAAAGGACTTATTTTTCTTCAATAAAAGGACTTGCCATAGAATTTTCTCTTTCCAGCATATGGCCTTTCGCAAAATTTGAACTTTAGAATACAAAGCAATTAGTTGAAAAGCAATTTAGTGTTCACCTTATCCGAATAACATAATATTCATATTATAATTTCAAGTTTTATACATTTCATATATGTGGGACAGTAATCTGATACGTTAACGTGTGTTTAGAACATGTATTTTTGGAATTGTAATAAGCTTAGCAGGCGAGTGTAGCGGAACTCCGGCACCATGACGGTGATGATCGCTAGCCCGGTTTTGAACTATGGTTTGGGCTTTGGTTTCGGTCTGGAAGACCGTGTAAAAAGTTAAATTTTGTAATTTTAACAATTAAGTCCTTTAAATTTAAGAATATCAAAACATGAATCTTTGTATCATTTAAAACATTTTTGTAGTTGCAAGTATACGCCTACGACCAACGATTTGGAAAGTAGTTGAGTAAGGGTTTTTGAGGACACGGTATCAGGACTTGTGTTTCTCTTGATTTGCTTTGGAAACATGGTATGTCCTGAATAAGAACAGGGAGCTTACTCAAGCTATGTTCGAGATTTGTGTATAACAGACGACACAAGCAGGAAGGGTATACAAAACCCTTTATTTTCAATACTTTACAGGTACTTCCGAACTTCGGAATACAGAGACCAACCACTTGTGGTCTGAACGTAAGAATATAAAACTCTAACTAAAAGCTAACTTTGAATTAGTATACAAATGCCTAGCACTAAGACTGGCCTTTATTTAAAAGGGTACGTATGTAGTACGCCGAGCTGCTGAAACTACAATACGTTTGCAAATATCAAGAGGGCTATACCTCTGGCCTTAAAGGCAACCAGTAACCGAGTGAAAACTCGTAAAACTGCAGTGGCAAGCGGCTTGCTTCCTAAAACTTCTTTTCTCTCAATAACTCTTGGCAAAAAGCCACAACTTAAATACTTGGGCGTTAGCAAGACAAACAAGTTAAAGCATTTAATTCTAGCCGGAAGTAGAAAATAAGAAGAGATAGTACAGTTTAAAATAAAATAAACGTTAGTAAAACTTAGGATCCTTACAACGGTATTAGAATATCTTACAATGCTATATTTGATGTGTCCCCTAATGTGGGAACATGAGACAATATCACTTAAATTCTTAGTACAATGCTGGTGTCTCCGTCTCCGGTCAACTGTCAACTGTGGATACTGTGTATATTGCAGACTACGAAGTAAAATAAAGTTTAGCTTCTTTTACGTATTGATTTCGTATGATATCGTAAAACTCTTCGTATTGATTCGTATGATTTCGTTTTCAACTATTGATTTCATTCGATTCATTTCGTAAAAACTTGCGAATACATTACGTGGAATCATGAACTATTATTCAGAGATTTATATATACTATTTTATAAAAAAAAAGCAAAAAAAAAAAATTCGTTTCATTCTCAAGACGTTTTATGGCATTAAAAGAAATTTTTAGGCCAGAAGGGATCGTTTTGGCATTTTGCGTTGAAACTGTTGCCACCAAATATTATAGACCTGAACTAAAGATATTAAATAATGAAGAATCTGCATAAACGTATGTATGTTTCGCGCACTGTTGTAAAACAAAGGTACTCAGAGCCATCAAGTTTTAAATAATGTAATTCTCCACCGATTATGGGCATCTGGAAGCACTAAACTGGAATTTGGAATAAAACTATTTTAATTAACAGCTCAACAATTACAAATCGAGAAATGGCAACATTGTACGGGGAAAAACATTTTTATCTCCTGCGCGCGAGGCTATGGATGGGAAATTCTAAAGATATGCTCATTTTAAAATTATTTAGCGATATTGTTTTTGAATTGAATTTTATGGTTTAAGTGCGAAGACCACGATATTTAGTAAATAAAGGTAACTCACAAAACGTTAAAAAAATGCCCCTTTGGGCGTAATGTAAAATCTGCAAGCTTTCAGATTTAAAAAAAGAAAAAATTATTAAGTCTCTGCAGAATTTTCTTACCAACACAAGTGGCTTCACACTGCTGTTTAGTCATAAAGTTGTTTCTGTTTCCAAGGCAGCCTCCATATATAAAGATTTCGCATTGCCTTGTCTTGTTATTAAAATAAAATCTTTGAATCCTTAATGTGCACGGTCCCGACTGCTTCTGCTGTTTGCAAACACCTGCATGGTCATATTTTATGAGGCAAGATTATAATATGAAGCAAGTATTTTATGAAGCGAAGAATAAGTGTAGTTTAGTATATAATAATTAAAAGAACAACATTAAGATAATATTTATACAATAATTAAAAGAACAACATTAAGATAATATTTATACAATAATTAAAAGAACAACATTAAGGTGTTGGTGTATTTAATTATGGCAAAGCACACGAGGGCTATCTGCCTAAAGGAAGGGATGCCTTTCGTGGAGGACTTTCTAAGGGAAGAAACTGGCTCGTATACACGTTACACATGGGGAAAACCACGAAAACGCCCATGCAGCCAGCCCGTTCGCGGGATTCGAACCTCAGACCGAACTACCAGTGTTCAGCGTCTTTACCGCTCGGCCGCTGGTGGGCGAAGAACATTAAGATAATATTTACACAATAATTAAAAGAACAACATTAAGATAATATTTATACAATAATTAAAAGAACAACATTAAGATAATATTTATACAATAATTACAAGAAGAACAATATTAAGATAATATTTATACAATTATTAAAAGAACATTAAAATAATATTTATACAATAATTAAAAGAAGAAAGTTAAGAGAATTTTTACAATAAATAAAATTTGAGTTTCATTATTATCAAAAGATAGTTGGAATTTGCTTCCATTCAAAAATCTTTCTTTGCAACCGTTATCATTAACCATTTAGTTAAACATGTCTAAGCAATTTCATTGTAAGTGAAAAACCCATAGCATCATGAAAACACATTTTCCTTTATATAATTCAGCTTTGTTCATAAATTATTCAGCTTTTGTGGGCTATTTTGCAGCTTTTAGTCTAGGTTTACATAATACATAATTAAAGTTATATATTGTTTCATCCATGAATCAAACAACCGCTTAAGGGGACAAGGGGACGTTCAGATTTGTAAATTTCCTTCAAAAATTCGAAATTTCATTTTTTGTTTCTAAAAATAAAGAATAATGTAAGTGATGTTTACAAAAAATAATTTTTAAGTTGCGATGAAAATTAATCATTTTATAAGGAAATTTCGTTTTCGACATGGACATTTAAATGCGTTTAAAGGGCATTTAAAGGGCTGCCATATTTGTTTTTGGTGTCATTATCAAGTATAAAAAGTTACATAAAATTGAGTAAATATATAGTTTATTACCACAAAATCAATTGGTAGGTCAGGCAAAATATGATTAGCACAACCAATAGAATTCAAGGAATTGTGTCTACATTTATGCCATATACCATGAAACGACACTCCAGTGTCAATAATATGCTCACCTTTCATAGATGGATACCAGCTTTCATGTTATTCCTTACTATTTTCTGGACAACTCAAATACCTTCTCTTTTATACCTTTGATCACATTTACAAGCTGAACAACACATTTACTGCAAGCTTTCCTATCCATTGCTTGATTCCAAGAGACACTGAAAACTGTTCTGTAACCGAATGTCCTCCACCAATATTTAGAAAGAGTTTGACGCGCTTTTGTTTCAAATTGCCATTATGCAATCAATCAAAGACTTGAATAGATTAAATCCATTTCATTTATATAATATTGTATTTGCAATGCTATGCAGAATAACTAAACAAAATTTTTAGACAATAATATTTGAAATATAGGTAAAAGTAGGTTAGCAAGTAAATACAAGTTTACGTGATGTACCGTGTGTTATGCTTGTCTACAGAGCATAGCACATAAAATTGATTCTGTTTAAACTAAATGAATAAAATTGAGCTGAGAAAGAATTAATAAATTAAGTAGTAATATAATAGAAAGCCGAAGCATTTATAAGTCATTTTTAGGTATGTAAGTAAAAGTAAATCTTTAGAATGTGTTTTCACGGATTTCAGATTTTTGAAAATTTTGAGTACTGAATTTATCTCTTGCGTTTTAATTGTTTTCGAATTATTTTCATACTTGATTTATATCATTCCAATACTATTCATAAGAGAACTGTGCATCCATTTTACTATTGATGAATTTTTCTAGGAATTGTTAGGCTTTTCGTAAAATAACGACCTCATAAAAATTCAAAAAATTGTGAAAAATTTAATAAATAATTTATTTTTCAATGATGTTTCATCCTATTTTAAAATGTATGCCCAATTTATTTATCATTTGATATAGATTCATTAGGAAAATATTGTAAGTTTCTGATTACTTTTTATGCGCAAGGGTCTATAGGGATATAAGCATAAAAACGTAAAAATGCATAAAATTATTTTACTTTTTTCTGAAAAATTTTACCTTCTATCATTATAAAATTGTATATTTAGGTAAATACATGCACAATACACATAACTGAAAAATATTTTAAAGTTTGAACAAAAAGTAAGAATTTTTCATTTAAACGTCCCGTGTCCCCTTAAGTACATCGCCACTGCTCTAAATGATTTATTGTTGAGTGTAAGCGACTGTAGACGGATCGACCCTACAGCGTGTCGCGGCGTGGGTGATGTACGTAACCGGAACCTGTCTGACGCAATTGCCAGTACGTGTGAGCAGAAAGACTTAGCAGGTGCAAAACAAGACATTTTTCTAATTTCTCTGTCTCTCTGTGAGGATTTTGATCAATTCGTAAACATACTCTGAATTCCGACTTTTAGACATACTGAAATCAATAATTACAAGGTATATAGTGTGTATATACCCTATAGTTGCTTTCTTGTTAGATTTGTTTGTGTACTCTCTAATCATCCAGGATGTTTTCTTACAGAGATTTGCTTACAAACTGATGACTGTAACAACCCACGATGAACAAAGCTAAGCGAACAGGCACTTGTAATTTTAATGAAGAAGGAGAGCACTAGCTTTGCTTTATAAACCATAAAGATAAATATATATGCCTTTTAAACGACAGAAGTAAAGCAATTCCAAATAAAAGCAACCTTGAGAAAGATATTTTAAAACGGTGCGTCCGAAGTTTGACTTAGAGTATTTTGAACTTTCTGAACTTTGAAGAAATAAAATTTTTCATCGATTTCGAAGTAACAATCTATTTTTACCAAACTGTTGGAAACCTCAAAGACAGCAACAATCGCATTGATTATAGTTTCGTATATAGTTGCTAAAAAAAACCATATACAGATTCAGCGGTAATACAGAGGCTGTTCACACATTTTTTAGACGATGTATATTGTATTCACAAAACTAAATTACATAAAATTCTTGTGTTTTAAATGTTCTATTTGACATCCCTTATTCTGAACTATCTTTCGACACCGCAATTTCCAGGATGATAATGCCTTTTGAAGTGGCAGAAGAGATATTTTATCCCAATCCTCCCAAACAGCTTTCCAGAGTCCTGTTAGGGTTTTGGGACAACGTTTGGATAATGCGGTTTTTAAAAAGGTGACACATCGGGAGATTTAGTAGGGATATCAGTAAAGGGTATGGCCTTGATACCAGGTTTTTGTTCCATTTCTTGTAGGAAATTTACAGTGGATTTTGATGTGTGACTGCTAGCTCTGTCCTGATGAAGTCTCACAGCTTGATGACACTGTGGGTAAAGCGATGGTATTTCATTCAGAAAAATTGGCGATAAAATATGTTTCTGATAGTATTTGGAGTTAATCTTGACATTTTTTGCACTCTCTTTATTTTAAACTTGCCATTATAAGAAAAACCAGCAACAATCAAGAATCCCTTAGAAAAACTTTCTTTCGATTCTTTGAACAATGTACTTAAATTTTTTCCTCCCCTTTTATGATAATAAATGGCTCTTTTTTTTTTTTGTTACAATCATTTAAATACATCCATGCTTCATCTATTGTGACGATTGTTTTCCATTTTTAATTGGATAAGTGTTTCTCATATAGAATTCTGCAGCGTGTCCTGCGTCGAGCGATATGCTTTGGAAGAAGACGATTCACATTTCGTTTTTTTTCTTTCTTAAAGTTTAAATCAACGTTTATCATTTTGTTTACAGTGGACACCGAGCATTTTAATGATTATTTAACTGTTATTTGAGTAGGGGGATTTTTCTTTTAACATTAAACAACGTACCTTTGCAATAGTCGAAGACGTCCGTTTTTTCCTTGGATACTTGTTTGGAATTTTTGTCCCACTTGAGGCTCCAATTTGACGTTTTGTTCCTTTCTTGTTGATGATATTACCTATCGACGCTTTAGATATCACAACACCATGACTCTCACATCGTTTTTGGATAACGTAGTATGCATATTTCTCTTCGGAAAGAGCGGAAATGTAGCCTTCGAACCACTGCTTTGTTAAATTCGCCATTTTGAATAAAAACAAAACTCTCAAGTCACAGACGATAGTTTTAACTTTTAAAAACATAGTACAATTGCAATTACTTCTTTTGCAGCAAACGATTTTTTATTACCGCTTACCAAAATCGTCTAAAAAATGTGCGAACAGCCTCTGTAAAAGAAGCAATGTTGGAATCTGCAGGTGTACCTTTTGCAGGTTTTAAAAATAAAAATGAAGTTGTTTCGGCCATAAATGCCATGCGATTTTCAGCTAGAAATTTTAAAAGAAGAATCTACATTTGTGTGCAACCATTTGTATTATTATTGTGTTGCATGCTGTAAATTTCAGAGAAAATATAAAGGAAATAATGAAAACAATTATTCTTTGAAAAGGGATTGATGCTAGAAACGGATTGTGAGTCCCGTTTTAAATGATGCTATACAACTTGCTGCTTGAGCACATTTATACATTCTAAACAATAAATAAGTCTTCAAAAATAAAAATCATACGTACGAGGACAATTCTCTGGAGTTACACATTGCCCATTTTCATCTTTTAGAAAGCCTTTATTGCAGAAACAACCTTTAACACACATTTCGACCTCTGGTCGTTCGAAATCTTCCGAATTGTCGCAGGTAGTGGGATAGGCACTTCCACATTCTTCGAAATGCTCATTTTCAGGACAATCAACTGCTATAAAAGATCACAATTTATGAAACACATTTTTACGTCCACACGATAGTAGTATTAAAATCAAGCAAACATTTATTAATTTTTCTGGTAAGCTTGACATCATCTTGCATAATTTCGTGTTGGAGACGTCGAAACAACCAGTAATGCATCTTCTGGATTTTTTTAAAAGTAGCATAATTAACCCTTTGATGCGCGCGATGTTATTTTTGTAATGTTTTTCCTAAAAAACTCTAGAAATCGAATATTACGATCCTAGAGACAAATAATATATGAATTTAAAAAAAATCTACCCTCGCCCATTGATCTGTGGTTGGTGGTTTCGCTGTGAAACTAGCGCGCGTTTAGGACTTTGAAATTTACTGAGTTAGTAAGAAAAAACAACTTAACTTTTTCCATGCGTATTTCCAATGAATGACGAAATTTTCGAATTAAAAAAACATTTTATTTAAAAATTGCATTATATCTAAATTTTTTACTTTATTTTACAAAGTAAATCGTCAAAAATGAAAAATTAAATATTTATGTAATTTTTCTACTGCAGTGAAAACATAAGAACGTACTTAATAAGGAAGTTCGGATAAACAGATAAAAAGGACTCAGTAGAGTAAAAAAAAATTCAGTAAATCTTTTTAAATGTCAAAGAACAAAGATATTTTTTATGAAACTGTTCAAAGCATGTTTTGTTGTTTTTTGCATGTGTCATGCCTCGCGCTCGTTCAAACACGAGGTGGGTTCTTCTGTGTAAACTTACCATAGTGGGAAAATAACACTTGTCCGCTTTGACATTTTCTTCACTAATTTATTACACAAACTGCACTATTGATACACCATACAACGAATACACTGTAAAATAAACTATATACATATATATATACAAGGCGCGCAAAAGAAATTAAAACATATTTCCTTTCTCTACGTTCTCACACGGTATGCTCGCCGGTCCAACTCCCAGTGCCCTCTCCGTCCAGTCTTTCTTCCCCCCACCAGCCTGCCTCGACCTGTTTTTCCGGGGTAAGTCACTTCCATTCTTCGTCATTCATCAGGGAAAGGAACTTCACAGCATGCATAAGCCAACATTGCACGTTTCGCACTCGTATCTTGTTCTACGAGATTTCTCCCTTATGCTACAAAATGTACACCGCTGGGATTTACATTTTACTGGCATATGTTCTGCGTTAAATATTTTAAATTTGCATAATAATATGATTAAAATATTTTAAATTTAATTAAATTTTTACGCGATTTCTATTCTTAATTATCGAAAAATATAATTGCCTTTTATTTAAACCATACAAGATAATATAGAAATTCATAATGCTAGCATAGGAGAGCAAGCGTCTTGAGCTCAGAGAAAAATCTCTGGAAATGAAAGACATTTTCTCTGGGCAGGTGCCTGTATTGTTTAGTAATAAAATAACTTGTCAAAGGCCTCTTATCAATATCCGAATAAAAATAAACATTCCTATTTGAAAGCAGCAAACACCATTGTGAAGAGCAGTTAGTGGTTCCAGGGTGAGAACACTGAGCCTTTAGGGTCTTGTGAGCATTGTAACACAATGCTTTAGTGGCTCAGTGGTCGCACCCTGAAACCGCAAAGCAAATGCCATAAATATACACAGTTTTGTATATGTAATTTATCTAGCGCGTTCTCAAGTGAAACTTCTGCAGGGCAGCCGTAACGCGCTTCAAGCGTTCTTCTACATTTTAAAACTTTTAAACGTTTAAAAGGTTTTCTAAATGTTTACTTGTTTGAGTTTTTATTTTTTGTTCTACTACCTCCTAGAGGGCAGTACTAATCAGGCATTCTCTTTTAATGGAATTTCCCACCCCGGGTTTTATGAATATTAGCGCCGTTTTACAATAGATAAAAGACATCTTCAACGTCTACTCAGCAGAAAAAGAGAAAAAATGATGTTGTGAATTGGAAAGACAAGAAAGATATACGTTTGATGAGTTGGAGAAATTTTCGTGGACAGGAGAGGACGGCGAAAGACTTAATAACTCTGGAAATTTAAAGTTGTTTATATTAATAAAAGGAAGTTGTTTTGTCTCACTGAAAACGAATTTTAGAAGGCATCCGATTTGAAGTACTAAACACCTAAAAAATATTTGGTTCTACAGTCATTTTGTATTATTTAGAAGCAAAAGATAAGTAATTAATCGATTTTCACTCGAAACATTCGGAAAGAAGAGCGGGAAAAAATTCGAAAATTGGTGGTTTCAGGGCGGGACACCCGCGCATCAAAGGGTTAAGATCACTGATTCGCCACTGTTATGATTGTAAGATCCCAAGTACTAACACTAGCAAGTCAATTAAAAAGAGTTATTCAAAGATAACTGATTTGCCACTGTTATGTTTATAAGATCCCAGTACTAACAATGCCAAGTCAATTAAAAAGAGTTATTCAAAGAGAACTGATTTTCCAAAAACCCAAGTACTAATAGTGGCAAGTCAGTTTATATGAGTTATTCAAAAGATCACTGATTTGCCACTGTTACACTTGTAAGATTCCAATACTAACAGTGCCAAGTCAATTAAAAAGAGTTATTCAAAGATAACTGATTTGCCAAAAACCCAAGTACTAATAGTGGCAAGTCAGTTCATATGAGTTATTCAAAGGATCACTGATTTGCCACTGTTATACTTGTAAGATTCCAATACTAACAGTGGCAAGTCAATTAAAATGAGTTATTAAAAAGATCACTGATTCGCAACTGTTATGCTTGTCAGATCCCAGTAGTAACAGTGGCAAGTCAATTAAAATGAGTTATTCGAAAGATCACTGATTTGCCACTGTTATGCTTGTAATATCCCAATACTATGGCAAGTCAATTAAAATGAGTTACTCGAAAGATCACTGATTTGCCACTGTTATGCTTCTAAGAACCCAATACTAACAGTGGCAAGTCAATTAAAATGAGTTATTCAAAACATCACTGGTTTGCAACTGTTATGTTTGTAAGATCCCAGTACTAACAGTCATGCAGTGACGAAGTAACTGTGTTTTCTTTTTTAATGGATGTAAAAAGAATGTACTTACTTAGTTTACGAACTGGGCAATTTTCACGTCTTACGCAGCGGCCATCTTCGGTCTTTAGAAATCCTATATCACAGAAGCAATCTGGAACACACCTTTCAAGACACCGTTTTCTACGGTTCTGAAATTTTTCACATGTGTAGAGACAGGGTGTGCCGCATGCCCTAAAATGCTGATTTTCCGGGCAATCTACTCCCACAAAAAAAGAAAAATTCTTATTGCGTCTCCAATTTTGAACATACAAACAAATAACAGAATAATAATAATGATAATAATAATATAGTCCCTCATCGTCAAAAACCGCCATCGTGGACTCTTAGCCCATCACAAATACTTAGCCGATAGGATATTTGGCTGACACAAACATTTGGGCGCTTAATTGACAACCATTTAACCAACAGGATATTTAGCCAGCACAAATATTTAGCTGACATAAACATTTCAGAAATATAGTTGACACAGATATACAGCCGAAATAGTACGTTTAACCGAGAGCAAGCTTAGCTAGCAACATACAGGTATTTAGTTGACAAGCGTACATTTGGAAAGAAACAGAAGACAATATTGTATTAAAATTTGTACATATTTACCGAACAAAAAGATATTAATGCCATCAACTATAGAAGGTTCAGAGAAATACAGTTTACTGATAAAACTTTTGCGGATAATGTTTACCCGGTTTGTTGATAATGCTTGCAGTTCAAAATTATGTTTAAGTGCCAAATTGTGATAAGCTGACAGAATTTTCTTTATTCTGATTTTCAAACACACGTTTTATGTTCCTTGACAAGAAACTTCAACACTCTTTCAGTTTGGCCGATACAGATCAAACCACATTGACATGATATGTTAAACTTCCGCTGGAATTAAAATCAGAGATGAGATTTTTAAAAATCGAACAACCTGTACACTCATAAAGTTTATTTCGGAAGCAGGAGAGATGAAAAATGAGCAAAGCCTTTACCGGGAACCGAACCGCGGACCTCTGGAATACGCGCCCAGCATGCAGAGCACTACACCACGAAGGCATGCCAAGAAGGCGGGAGAAATGACTTATAAATTTTTTAAAATAATAAAAAAGGCAAAATATCCTTTTGGCGCCCCCCCCCAAAAACGCTTACAGTAGTAGATATAATGAATATACTCGTAGTAAGAAAATAATGCAAATAAAATGCTGATCTGCCTAAATACTCTAAATTATAGTCACTACTAGACTCCTCTACAACCCCCTACGTTCGGTCGGTTTCGGTATAACAACTCGTAAGCTTTAATTTGAAGCAAAAAAATCTAGTAAAAATCAAGATTAGCATTGGATTAGAAATGTATCTCTGTCGGCCGAAAATCGATTACCAATAACTACCAAGTCACGGTATTATTTATTTTACATATTTATATTGTTTTTAAAAAACGTACAAATTTGAACAATATAGTTAATATATATAGATAGCAGAAAATTTTAATATATCAATATTCTAACGCTTAATACAATAATTGCTATGCAACTTTTTGCCTTGAGGAAGCAAGTTATCATTTACTTCATCAAGTATCAGTTCAATTTTTTTCTTTCCACAGTTAAAATGCGGATCACTTTGGCGATCTTATCCCATCAAGTATCTCAAATTAATTTAATTTGAACGAACGTTCATAGCTAGCATTTTATAATGAAATAGTAAGGAGTATTGTCAGTGCGACTCTTAGGTTTAGTAAAACATTTTCTCCCATACGATATTATAAAGGTCATGGAGCTTTAGGTTCAGTTCCTTTTCTACTGCGAAATAATATCTTCCAGTCACATACACTGCTCAAAACAATTAGAGGATATTGTAAGTTCGATATAATCGACAACTTTATTTGACAAAAGGAAATAAAAGAGGTTATAAAGGAAAATTATAACCTTTACAAAGTTGGGATTGTGTAAGTTAGTCTGTGACGTCGGAAACCATGGGTTTTAGATAAGAAGTGAGAAGCGATCTGCAGTATTTTTTTTTTTTTTTTTTTTTTTTTTTTTTTTTTTTTTTTTTGTAGGAGATTAAAAACAATCGATACGAGTTGAATGTTTTGTAGCAGTGAATACGATGTCTCAGCAAGATGACTTAGTTAAATCGATATCCTGGTAAGCCATCGGGTCGTTTACAGGAGAGTCAAACGCAATCCATTGCAGCGTAATCGCCAGGAGTTTCTCAAAATGTCATTTCCAACCGAAGATCGGGAAGGTCGTATGATTTCAACAGCACAAAATTAGAATCGCTATTTAACACTAACGACCAGAAGCAACCATACTATAAACGCCATTTTCTAGCAAAAGTACCTTTAGAGGATTACTAGTACCACAGTTTCTACTTAAACTATTCGAAACCGTTTCCACCACATGGTTTGTAATGCTCGCAGACTTATGGTTTGCGTTTCGTTGATACAGGTCCATCGTGCTCTCGGTAGAAGGTGGGCACAGGAGCATCTCAAATGAGGACGAGATGAGTGGAGCCACGTGCTCACGTACGAGTCCCACTTAAGTGCACAACCTCACAAAAGCGGATTCTCAGCTAGAGAGAACCTCGTACATAATACTCCTCAAATTGCACATGAAAGTGCTGTGCACGACGTCTGCCATTTGGCTGAGGCAGACTGATGATCTTGGCCGATATTTCTTCAAATGGCCGTACCGACCTGCACATTATCAGGAATGGAGCACTAACGGCTCAGCAATATACGGATGCGATCCTCAGACCAATTCTGCTCCTTTATGCTGTAGCAGACAGGCTTTGAATTCTCATGGACGATCCCATCCGGCTGAGCTAGTGAATAATTTTCTTTTCGACTAAAATATCCTTCGAATGGATTAGCCAGTATGTTTCTCAGTTACGAATCAAATAGAACATGTTTGCGACATTCTAGGGATTATCATGCTAGTCACTATCCAATGGCCATGAATTTTTTATGACTTTGAATGGTTGCTTCCCATATGGATCAACAAGAAGCAAATGCAAAGTGACGCTATTAATAAAGCATAAGTTATGAGAAAACGAAACTAAATTTTTCCGATTTCAATAAGAAGATGCCAGAATCAGCAACGGATGAGCAAGAAGCATTCAAGGCAAGCAGAGTGGGTGGTTTGGAAAGTTTAAGAGGAGAATCGACATTCTCACTATAACTTATAGCAGAGAAGTAGGCATTGTCTGGTCACAAGCCAATCAAAGACCACGCTGTTGTTTTTGTGCAAAGACAAGTGGCAATTTGAAAATTTAGCCGCTGCCATTTTACCATTTGGACAATCCACATCCACGTGGCTTCAAGAAGTATTAAGTCCAGAAGAGCAAGCTAAATGTCATGTGAAGATCCAGAAACAAGACTGGGGTGACACGTGACTTTTTTGCGGATTGGCTCGATGAAGTATTTGATTCCCCTGTAAAAAAAATATTTACATGAGATGAATTTTTCACGCCGTGCCTTGCTTGTCATGGAAAAGGTTCCCGCGCACACTGCAGGCCTAGAAGAGCACCTTCTTAAAGAATTTAAAGTCATCAATATCTATTTCTTGCCTCCTAACAGCATTACCTTATTGCAGCCCATCGACCGGTAGCTGTTTTAAATTTTAAAAGCCTCGAATTTGGTTTTGAGGTAACTGAAGGGAAGTATGTCCCTCTCAGAGCGTTTGGAAAGCCCACTTAGGCCACTTTCACATCGTTGCCTACCTCAAGAGGATCGACAAGGCATGGCAGGTGATCATCTTTAATTTTACATATACTTTAAGATAAAGCAACAACAAATCACAGTGGACAACGTTGAGTGAAACAGAGACCTTGTTGGTCTCAAGCAGAGTTGGATAGTTCTTAGAAACAAAGAAAAAAAGGTGCCTACCAAAAGAGAATTAACTGATATTTATACGAAAGGAAACTTCGCATTTAGACAATAAATCTTTCTCGACATTTTCCATTTGCGCATTTCCGTTGTATACTCTTGTATAAATACAATAAATTTAGATTAAATTTTCCTCTTTGTTTACCTGTTTAATATTGTGTTTATATTTTATACATTCAATGACTCCCTTCGATTTGGGGTTATGAAGCGATGTATTGTTTTAAAGTGTATATAAGCAACTACCTGCGGTCCAGGAACAAATTAGTCTATTTTATATCGATTCCTATGGGGAAAATTGTTTCGGATTATGAATATTTCATTTGAAGAATGGTCTTGAAGAACGAAGTAAATTCGTACTGAGATTTCATTGTGCAGAGAAACAGACTGACTACCGAGGTAATACACCTTTTTCTACATAGAAGGACATGCTCTACAGCGCTTAGTGAAAAGGCCATATTGAAGGTATGGCAGCTTTCTCAAATTTACACTTCGCTACAAATTATTACGCGCAACAACATGCTTAATTAAGGCTACAATGAGAGAATTTCAACCTCAAGGGAAGTGTTTTGGCGGTGTTACCTTACTCTATGAAATACTGCAAAGAATCAGAAGCTAAAGTATATTTAAATGTATAAGTCATCTTTCTATTAGAATTTAGAACTGCATCTAAAATAATTTTTTAAAATGTCAGTCGACTTCAGTGCAGTAAAACGAAATTTGAAATAAAACATGGTACTATACAACGTCAGATATTAAGCTTTACTAGTTACGGTAATCTAATAATTGCTAAACGCATTCTTTAATTTTTTACAGCAAAGAAAGTGTTTAGAAAGAATGGGAGTGTAATTATTCTTTCTGAAAAAATTATCAAAAGGAAGTGATACCTACTTGCTATACGAGGTGGACAACGACCGGGTTTCACGCAATCACCTTTTGAGGTCTTCCTATAACCTTCATCACAATAGCATCCTGAAACGCACGTTTTGATACATGGTTTCGGAGGGAAATAGGTTTCGCAGGTGAAGAGACAAGGTATACCACATATTTCGAAATGTTGGTTTTCTGGACATTCTGCGTTTGATGCAAAGAAAAAAACGTTTTTTAGAATTTTTTAACGGTATCCGCCGATAACATCGCGGACGAAAATGTCGCAGAGAAAACAACGCAAGGCGAAAACGTCGTGCTACAAAACATCGTGGGAGAAAACATCGCAAAGAGAAAACATCGCGTTCTAAAGCATCGTGGTACAAAACATCGTCGTCGAAAATAAAGCGGTTCAAAAACTTCGCTGTTTAAAAGCATCGTCGTCGAAAATATCGCGATAAAAAATAAAG